TGAATAAGCAAAGCCAAGCTCCTCAGTAAATGCCCCATGTGTAAATAGGCTTGAACTGGAGAAATTCTCATTTCCTATTGGCATTTTAAGACATTTTGTCTGTCATTCGGAGAGCGGTTTCTACAGGACTGTCGTGCGACTCAAAAAGTGACCCATGGAAGTCTCACGCGACCCAGTCCGCTGACCCGCTGAAGAATCAAGATGGTACACAACATGGATTGAGTAGGACATGACAAAGAAGTGGTAATTCCCACCTACAAAATACTTGGGTGGAGGAAGAGGTCCAAGCCTCACTGCTAGGCTTAAGCATTCAGGTAGGCCAGGAGGCCTCAGGCCTACAGGGTGGTTACAAAGCTGCACACCCCTAGGCAAGTTTACTCAGAAGAAATTCCCACTGAATTCCGTGGTTATTACTCCCAAGGAAGTGGGGTTAGAATTGCAACCTAATTCTGTAGTGTTTTACTGCCTATCTCTCAGATGTGAGACTTGAAAGCGAGATTTCCAAGACAAGAGTCACAATTTGTCACTTTGGGGGTGGGGATATTGGTTAGACAAATATAAATATAAGTGACAATTATCATCTTTAGTTGTAATTTGACCTCTGTTCAGTCTCTGTTTTCAGCAATATTGTGATGATTTTATTTACGTTTTCAGAAGGTTAAGACTAGTGTTAAAAATGCATCACTGAAGTCATAGGTGCCAGTTCCCTGGGGTCCTGGGTGCCTGAGCACCCACAAAATTCCCCCTGAAGGGGCCGGGCACCCACAAATTTCATTGCCAGTGCCATGCATGCTGCCCAGGCACCCACGGTCGTAGGGCCAAGCTGGTACTCCTGACTGCAGCTGTGAAATCTCAAAGGTCTCTGTTTTCTTTCAGCATCTGCAACTCCACTTTGTAATGGAGCCATACAAAAATTGTCTCATGCAAGTTGAAACGTAGCAATATGGTTTTTAATTGCTATCCCAGAAGACGTATATCCTACCCAGGATTTGCTCCCTCTAGTTTTTATAAAGTTCCAGTACTTCAAGTCTGTTTAGATAGTTCAGCAAAGAAAGAACTGTTAATGAGTAATCGTTGTCCAAGACAGCGCTGAGCCAATGAAAAGAGGACTAAACCTAAAGTCAGCCTGTTATCGTTGAAGCCTTCTGCAAAAGTGAGAAAAGCAACACAAAAATGTTCTTGCTTTGAAAATCATTAGGATTCTGAGCTGAATGCAGAACTACTGAGTGCACTGTGTCTCTACTGCTAGAGTTCAGGAAGACACCAAGTGTAAGCTACTACTTTTAGTTGTTAATTTTAGTGGATAATGTTTTGGGGATAATACTGTGATAAGTGCATCATTTCTTTGATATGTTACATACAACTGTTTGTGACTCTTCTCTGTTTTTATTGCTTTATTGATTTTCATCGATAGTTTGTTTTTGTTACTATTATTTATTATTTTATTTATATCTTGCCTTTCTCCCAAGTTGGATTCAAGTTGGCTTGGAACATTTGAAAACACTGTTATAAAAGTGTGTAAATTTTGTTGTGTTTTATTGGTACTGAACACAGTTTGGGGATTATTTTCTATTTAAAACTGAGCATGAAATTTTATAATTAAATAAATTCATCATATCATATTTTGTTTAACAAGTGCGGGAATTTGTGTGCTTCATAAAGAGCTCAAAAAACAAATAATCAAGAAGCTTAGGCTGCAGTCCTAAGCCCACCTACCAGGGAGTAGGCGCCATTGAATTTAATAGCGCTTCTGACTAAACATTGTTGGGATTGTGCTGTTAATTTCTATAATTTCTATAGTTTCTCATAATAACCAGTCTCTTCAGAAGTTAGTACTTTGGTGGGATTGAATGTAGCAAGGTGAGGAAAAAGAAATCACTGGTGAGTGAGCATAGCATTTCCTGGAACCTCACTTTTATCATTTCAGCCCATGTCAGTTGTAGCGATCAACTGTTATTTTCCCATTGTCAGAATAAAGCATGTAGAAATATTGATTAAATAAGTATTACAATGGAAATTAAAAGTTTACAGATACCAAACTTTCTGACTGGCATATCATAATTACTTTTTCAATTACAGTTAAAGATAACAAGCATGTAGGTGCATGCTTCCTATCTCTTTTATAACAGTCAGTAAAATGTACTGATTTACCAAAGTACCATTTTTTCCTAAAAACTATGGTGGAATAATGTATTATTAATATTACTGTGGCATCTAAATTTCCCAGCCAAGAGTCTGATGTTACTGACATGTGCTATACACTATGCACACCCGATTAAATTCTGTTTCTATTTATTTATTTATAAAAGTATTTATATACTATTGTATCATAAAACATCAGGGAAGTATACAATGATAAAACATAAAACACCTTTAAAACAATACAAAATAAGCATTAAGGTGACTGGCTAATTAAGAATTTCAGCAAGCATTACAGTTACTGGCAAAGTTGGATTAAGTTCTCATTGCTATAATCCTTCAATAAAATATAAATTACTAAACATCAGTGACGCCAATGAAAATTATACTTTTAATAGAATTGGGGACTTGGTTGAATTCTAATTATTTTGTCTTTTGTTTTTTCTTTAATAAGAAGCTTTAGGTTTAAATTAATTGCACCCTTTTACTTCCTCTGAATATTCATAATATTTCAGAAGCAGAAATCTCTAGGCCATCACTGATCCCAGCAGCAATCACCCTGGTCTGCTAGCTGGATAGCTCCAGTCCACTTGCACCTTGACATATACAGTAGTTGACATTCAGCAAAAGGACAGGTGTAATTGTGTGTAGAAATAGTCTGAGAGACCCAATCTCTTCTTTACAGCTTTATCCTCTGATTAACATTATTGATACATACAGAGAACTTATCCTCTCTTCAGGGTTTGGGCCAATATATTTTGTTGTCTCAGGTGGAGCGGGTAATGGTGCCCCAAATTGTAGTACATAGTACCCAAGGCCTGGCAAACATCTCAAAAGCCCCCCCCCCCTCCGTGCCAGACAGTAAAAATATAATAATATATTAAATAACAATTTGCAGCCCTTTAACGATGCCCAAAATCAGCTGCCAGAAACCAGCTGCTCATCATAAAATGGTTGTTCCTGTTCTCTTCTGTGAGAACATGCCATGACCTACTCCTTCTGTAGGAAAATAGAATATTTCTCTCATATTCCAGTACATAACTCCACAGGGTAGAATCCTAGCGTATTTTCATAGGTGTTGTACAGGAAGCTAGTATGTTGTGCTGGGACATCTAAGGGAATTGTATGATGGTGCTTCTCATAAATTTAATCTGACAGTTTGTTTTCCAGCCATAAGAGGTCCCATTGGTATGTAGTACATGTGACATTCAACAAACACATTTGATGTTTTAAAATAAATTGTTTATTTTATCCATGCATGGATAACCTCAACTGTATTTTAATTAGGGAGCCTGATGTTTCATTAAGAGCACCTCCCCCTAATCCTAGCGAGTGACTCATTCTACTTTTTCTCCTATCTAGCATAAACAACTCACTGATTACGATTAACAGCTGGAATTCCCAACATGTTGACAATTATCACGATAATTATATTGTGAAACATACAACAGAGCAAGGGAAAATATACAATCCAGATCTGGTTCATGTACTACAGCAACTATTAGGTTAGAATACTGCCCCATAGTATGCTTTCTCTCTCTCTCTCTCGTCCATGGATTTACATATGTAAAAATAGTTCAGATGCATCATGGGAATGTGTGACTATTTCAAGTTGATAGTGGCCTTTCTTGGTGTGCCAGCTCAAAAAAAGGCTGCTCTGCTCACATGAATAACAATTGCGAAACAGGCCTCTCCACATGGAAATAATCACACATTACTCCCTCCATACAATGCATCTGTGGAGATGCTCCACATGGAATGTTTCTGAAAATTTGGACAGGCCCTTTAGAATGACCGCTGTTGCAAGCAGATGTAGCATTTTGTTTTTCTTTATGTTTTTAAGGTTTCCTTCAACACTCAGCTTAATTTGCTGCAACTCAGCCTATTAAAGCGTCTATGGCGTCAGAGATGAACCTAATTGGGCATTCTCACCTACCTTCAGCAGATGGATTTTCTCTTTCCGAAGCTCCTCATTTATTTGGTAAATAAAAAAATATATTACAAGCAATATGCTAATTCAGTCCATAGAATGGAGTAATGCTGACATTTTCTGATAAACTCCTATGAGCTACATGTGATTTCTTTGTTCAAAGTACTCAGTTTTGCTAATCTATTACAATACATTTTTGTGTTATGATTTGTAACACAACTGTGAAAAAATTATAAATGGCATAATGAAATCAGAATATAATGGCAAATCACCCACAGAGTGCATAATCTGCATGCAAAAGCTCCTAGGTTCATTCCCCAGCATCTCAAGGTAGGGCTAGGAAACACTCCTGTCAAACACCGAAGAGGCTCAGTATGCACAGTTCTGAACTGGATGGTCAGCTATGATATATCTGTTGCTGTTGTTGCCAATAAAGCAAATCTAACAATTGAAAGCAAAAGAGAAAGTCCTATACTCATAAGTACTGTATAAGACTTCCAGAGGGGCAGCTGTTTAATTTGTTGCAGCAACAATGATTACTGTATGTCTTATAGCAGGATGCATTTGACAAGTGGACTGTAGGTGACAAACACTTGTGCCGCACTAAATGTGTTAGTCATTAAGGTGCTACAAGATTTCCATTGCATTACTACAGGAGAAAGACAATGATCAAATATGTTTTCATTAAATGCTTTAGATTTTTTCCACCACCTTGATCATAACTTGTGTGTGTTGTTATATTTTTGTGTTCATGTGAAGGTCTTGCAATGCCTCCCTCCCCATCATTATATTTAAGAGCCATATGCAATTTGAGTGTGTTCCGCTACAAACCCTGTGGCAAACCTGGGATTTTAATGAGCAGCTGCTGGATTTTATCAGAATACATATTGCTAAATTTGTGCATTCTTTTGCTGTTTTGTTTTTACTTTCAGAAGCTTTGTTGCTCCCTGGCACAAATATTACAGAAGGCTTTTTAATTTTTAAAGGAGCAACAAAATGTAACAGTACTACTAACTTTATAATGTAAAATTATTTTAGGCTCTTCTCCCACTGCCTCCTAAGACACTTAATGTTTCCTTCACCATCACCACTTTCTGCAGATCCTTTGTACTTCTATTGTGTGTGAAAGTGGCTTTGAAACATTTCTATGAGTAAAGCGCTTTAATGATGATGATGATGATGATAATGATGATAGCGTAAGACAGCTGCCTCAGATAGAGTACAGTAATCCGCCTGCTTCAAGTAACAAAGCTTGGGTGCCATTAAAAGGCAGGAAACTGAAAGCTCTGTAATTTTATTACTATATTTGTAATGGGGGTGTGTGCCAATTAGAATTTTTTACTCCATACATCAGGCTTCCCCAAACTTGGCCCACCACCTGTTTTGGGAATACAATTCCCATAATCCCTGACCACTGGTCCTGTTAGCTAGGGATGATGGGAGTTGTAGTCCCAAAACAGCTGGAGAGCCGAGTTTGGGGAAGCCTGCCATACATATTGGGCTGGCCTGAGCAAGGACATGATAAGCATTGCCTCACCATGGTCACATTCTACGAATGACTGGCTTTACATGTGATACAAACTGAGGCCAATGCTTGTCTGTCTTCTCTGTAGGTTTAGCAAGTTTTCTATTTAGCAAGTAATATTACTTCCCACCAGTGTGAACAGTGTGCTGACACTTGGAGAGCCCCTGAAAATCTACAATATTCTTGGCTCTACAGAGAGGGGTGAGAAAGATTGAATCCTTTTGTTCGTTGTGTTGAGAGAGAAAGAAATGCAATTTCTCAAAGGTCAAAAATGATTAAACAAGAAGAAGATCATAAGGCGGGTTAGCTAACTGCTTGTTATCAAGCTGCTTCTGGCAGAAAATTCAACATCTGGCTTTTGCTTTTTTATATAGCAGAGATAATAAACAGGCTCAAAAGTGACAGCAAGATCAAAGGCATAAAAAAAAAATCAACAATTAAATTTCAGTTAAATGTTGAAAATTAAATGACTTGTTAGAAAAGGGGTGAATTTCCACCAGTTCCAAAGTAGCCAGGACCAGCGGGCTACCTAGACATGATCTCCTAACATGCCAGTGCTCATACTCTGGCTCAGCAATCTTTCTGCAGGGGAGAATAGTACCATTCCATATTATTTGACTTGCAATTTGAAATGTGCTTAAAACATTATCTGTCTGAGATACGTATTTCCTTCCTTTCCCCCCATTTTTAGGTCTTTAACATGGCTTACAAACATGTTTGAATGAAACATTATTTCCAGTCTCCACAGGGATGTGCTGTCAGCTGTAGATCTTCCACCCTAGAAAAAAGGGGCAAATTCCTCACCCTATACCTGATTTCTTCTTTGATTCTGGGTGTTTTGGAACTGACGATGAGATAAAGAGCAATCCCTATCTGGAAGCAATCCCCCAACATTCCCTCTACACTAAATAAAGGACTAGAACATTAGTTATATGTCCGTTAGTTATTTTTGGCAGAATCCTCTCAGGTATGCAGTGTGGGGGGGGGGGGGAGGGGAGCTGATGGCATTGCCCTCCTTCCCCCCTGCTGTCAGTGGCAGTTTCAGCTGCCCTGGCCTCAGTGGTAGGGATAAAGAGCTGACAAAGGCTTGCCATTGTGAATTACGTATACAATACCTGACTGCTGTTTCAGTAAAGTAATGCAACATATCATAATTTTTTTAAAAAATCCAATAAGTGAATCTGAATGGTTGTACAAGTTAATGGGATTATCCACACTCTTTTTGATGTTCTGACATCAACTTTTCCAGATTTTAACAAATTATGCTGGAAATGTTATATAGCAATTTTCTCAGACTTTTTCAAGCTGGCTCCTCATAATAAAGTTAATCAGTAAACTGTATAACCTCTGGCCTAGTGTTTCCTTGGCTGGTCTTAGAGGAAGTTTTTATTTTCACTTGTGAGTAAAGTATTGGGAAGTTAAGGAAGCGGGAGAGAGCCATACTGGATGAAGGAACTAGATTTGTCTTTTAAATGGTCATATTAACGGCCCCTCAAGGTAGGATACTTTTCCAGCTGACTTGTAGTTTGTGGTTCTAAATACTGTACTAGACAACATCGTTTTGCTATACATAAATCAGTATCTAGAAACTGACCTTTGTTACCTGAAGCACCCAACATTTTAGAAATTCTACAGCATCTGCTTTGCTTAGAAATATATCAGGTTCAATCACTGGCATCTCCAGGTAGGAATGGGGGGCGGGCACTTGTTAGATTTCCTAGAGAGCAGCTGTCAGTCATTGTAGATAAGACTGAGGTGGGTAGACCAAGAGTCTTGACTCCATATAACTAAGTTTCCCTACACTGTTGCTTTCAGGAAGCTGATATCTTTATGTCATGTAACGAAACTAACTCACTTGCACAGCCCATTTTGCTTTAGTTTGTTACGTACTTTCCGCGCCCTGCATTTTATTTCCTCATATGGGTTATTTTGGTTTCTTTTGCTCTGTTCTTTTGATAGACTACCATTAATGATTTTATATATGCTAGCAGTTCTCCGTGTGGTACACTTATAAAGCAAAAGTACAATTAGGTGAAACTAATCTGTGTTAAATTATTATGAATATGCATCCTTGCTTAAGAATGCAAGAAGTCTGTTGTAGGATGAGTTCAGCATTCCTTTAATTAATACCAGGAACTAGCAGCATTTGCTAGCTAGATTTTGGCCTGTGGATCATTTGTAAACCATGCTCTGCCTTTGCCTGCCCCTACCATAGAACCCTTTTTTTTTTTTTTTGCTTGTGTGTACAGAGGATGTGTAAGTGGAATATATTTATTTCCTGACAATTTTCCGCTCCATAATTTGTATTTATTTTAAAATATTTATATCCCACTTAGTTATCTAGAAGGACCCCAAGGTGGCTTTCAGAACAATAAAATTAAAGATTAAACTGTATGCATTTTTACTTTGTTTTTACTCTTTTTGTAAGTTGCCCTGAGGATACTGTTACTGGGTGTTTTATAAAGAATTGTATCTATGTGTGTGTATGCACTTCTGTAAGCATGGGTTGGTCTAAGTGATCTGAGGTACCTTCCAGTTCTGGCTGCATTCAAATTGCATTTTATTCTGTTGATTTCTGCACTATATTTGAACAAGCCACTATGTACTGGAAATCTAGTGGAAGTGTTCGTTTCCTTGTCAGTTGCTTGCAGAAAAAATCTGTTTACAGCCCCATTAACCCAGAAAATCATGAGAATAAAATGACAAAATTTGTAATGGTATATAGTGGCCTACATATCTTTCCTGCCATTTTCATGGGGGAATCATGGAGGAACAGAAGCATGCATGAGCGGAAAGTGTGGGGAAGATACAACATTGCCCAGTGAACTTAGTTGTTGTATCACAGCATGCCTGCTGTTGTGAATGAAATTTAATGAAACATGCCAGTATATCAGTCAGAAAGCCACAGTTCCATAACATAACCAGTACTGCAGTGTGAAAGGAATATCATAAAACAATGTGGAAACACTTGCATTATAATAAAGAAAACTGATGCAATATAACCCACATTCTGGTTATTGGGTATGAAAACAGAAGAAAAACCTAACACAATTGCTTAGAAGAATAAAGTGATGATTAAACCAAAAGGGTTGCCTGAATACCAATAGTGATATTCGATATGCATGGGTGCTAAAATATCTATTCATAGAATCATAGAATCATAGAATCATAGAATCATAGAGTTGGAAGAGACCACAAGGGCCATCGAGTCCAACCCCCTGCCAAGCAGGAAACACCATCAGAGCACTCCTGACATATGGTTGTCAAGCCTCTGCTTAAAGACCTCCAAAGAAGGAGACTCCACCACACTCCTTGGCAGCAAATTCCACTGTCGAACAGCTCTTACTGTCAGGAAGTTCTTCCTAATGTTTAGGTGGAATCTTCTTTCTTGTAGTTTGGATCCATTGCTCCGTGTCCGCTTCTCTGGAGCAGCAGAAAACAACCTTTCTCCCTCCTCTATGTGACATCCTTTTATATATTTGAACATGGCTATCATATCACCCCTTAACCTCCTCTTCTCCAGGCTAAACATGCCCAGCTCTCTTAGCCGTTCCTCATAAGGCATCGTTTCCAGGCCTTTGACCATTTTGGTTGCCCTCCTCTGGACACATTCCAGTTTGTCAATGTCCTTCTTGAACTGTGGTGCCCAGAACTGGACACAGTACTCCAGGTGAGGTCTGACCAGAGCAGAATACAGTGGCACTATTACTTCCCTTGATCTAGATGCTATACTCCTATTGATGCAGCCCAGAATTGCATTGGCTTTTTTAGCTGCCGCGTCACACTGTTGGCTCATGTCAAGTCTGTGGTCAACCAAGACTCCTAGATCCTTTTCACACGCACTGCTCTCAAGCCAGGTGTCCCCCATCTTGTATTTGTGCCTCTCATTTTTTTTGCCCAAGTGCAATACTTTACATTTCTCCCTGTTAAAATTCATCTTGTTTGTTTTGGCCCAGTTCTCTAATCTGTCAAGGTCGTTTTGAAGTGTGATCCTGTCCTCTGGGGTGTTAGCCACCCCTCCCAATTTGGTGTCATCTGCAAATTTGATCAGGATGCCCTTGAGTCCATCATCCAAGTCGTTGATAAAGATGTTGAATAAGACCGGGCCCAAGACAGAACCCTGTGGCACCCCACTAGTCACTCTTCTCCAGGATGAAGAGGAACCATTGATGAGCACCCTTTGGGTTCGGTCAGTCAGCCAGTTACAAATCCACTGAGTGGTAGCATAGTCAAGACCACATTTTACCAGCTTCTTTACAAGAATATCATGAGGCACCTTGTCAAATGCCTTGCTGAAATCAAGGTAGGCTACATCCACTGCGTTCCCTTCATCCACCAGGCTTGTAATTCTGTCAAAAAACGAGATCAGGTTAGTCTGACATGACTTATTTTTCAGAAATCCATGCTGACTATTGGTGATCACAGCATTCCTTTCTAGGTGCTCACAGACTGTTTGCTTAATGATCTGCTCCAGAATCTTCCCTGGTATTGATGTCAGACTGACTGGGCGGTAATTATTTGGGTCCTCTCTTTTCCCCTTTTTGAAAATAGGGACAACATTTGCCCTCCTCCAGTCTGCCGGGACTTCGCCTGTTCTCCAGGAATTCTCAAAGATGACTGCCAGTGGTTCTGAGATAACATCTGCCAGTTCTTTTAATACTCTTGGATGCAGTTCATCTGGCCCTGGAGACTTGAATACATCTAAACTAGCCAAGTATTCTTGTACTATCTCCTTAGTTATTCTGGGCTGTGTTTCCTTTGCTGAATCATTTGCTCCAAATTCTTCAGGTCGGGCATTGTTTTCTTTATCGGAGAAGACTGAGGCAAAGAAGGCATTGAGGAGTTCAGCTCTTTCTGTGTCCCCTGTTTGCATTTCACCATCTTCTCCTCTGAGTGACCCCACTGTTTCTTTGTTCTTCCTTTTGCTACGGACATACCCATAAAAGCCTTTTTGTTGCTTTTAACCTCTCTAGCAAGCCTGAGTTCATTCTGTGCTTTAGCTTTTCTGACTTTGTGTCTACACGTGCTGGCTATTTGTTTGAATTCCTCTTTGGTGGTTTCCCCCCTTTTCCATTTTTTGTACACATCCTATTAACAGAACAGATTAAAATGCCCAATATCATTCCAGAATTTCAGACGAATAGAGTGTCACAAATGTTTAGGACTGAAATGTAACATTACACTTCTAAAGGTAATTAACTATAATCTTCTGATCTCTTATTTCTTGGGTGATTCCATCTCTGCTCATGTATTAACTGCAGACTAAGCAACCATAGAATTTTATTTTAACTGCCTTTGAGGTTTTGAGTCTTAGGACCAAGACACATGACAATCCTTCTGAAAAATGTATATTGATTTTGAACTGCTTGTGAATAAGTGGTTCAAAAAATTATTTGCATGCCAACCCACATTTGATCAACTCAGATCAGCAGATTTCATAAACGTTAGTTTATGTGAAAGTACTGAAAGTATAATATTTTTGTTTATATGTCAGAATGGTGTAGCTTTGGCTCCTAGTGAGTCTACACTGGTCGGTTATAACGTTAAAAATTCATTATAAAAATGTGACACCAGAGAGCGCTGCAGAGCAGCGATCTGTTGACAATAGGAAATTGTACTGAGAACTATCTAATGTCTTTAATAGGCTTTAATAATGTTTTTACAGATCAGTGTAGATCCAGCCTATCTTAAGAATCAGGTGGATAAGTCAAAGTCTTAACAGAACAGAAACCTTTATTATAGCTTACAACTTGGCTAATTGAGAGACATCCAGGAAGTACAGGAAATGGATTGCTTAAAGATACACTCAGACACCATACGTTTAAAGCACATTCCTCTGCAAAGAATAATGGGAATTGTAGTTTCCTCCTACATAACGACACCCTTAACAGGCTACAGTTCCCAGGATTCCTTTGGGGGAGGGATGTGCTTTAAATGTGTGGTGTGTACACAGCCATGGACCCATTCATGGAAGCTGTTTATCTCATTCACATTGACTGAAATTAAATACAGTGGTACCTCAGGTTAAGTACTTAATTCGTTCCAGAGGTCCGTACTTAACCTGAAACTGTTCTTAACCTGAAGCACCACTTTAGCTAATGGGGCCTCCCGCTGCCACCGCGCCGCCAGAGCACGATTTCTGTTCTCATCCTGAAGCAAAGTTCTTAACCTGAAGCACTATTTCTGGGTTAGCGGAGTCTGTAACCTGAAGCGTCTGTAACCTGAGGTACCACTGTACAGGTTGAGGAGGAAGCAGCAAAAGAATAAAAATAAATTATAATGAACATAATGCGATTTATGGGTTTCTTTTAGGGAATAGAGCTTTTGAAGTAAGTTCCTTATAAAAGAAAATGTTCTTTTGTGTTGTTTTCTAGGTTTACTTCCCGAGGCAATGACTTCCCCAGTGCAAGATTCCGATGTGTCACCCTATACACAGTACAACGCTGTTCACTTTTCTCCAGTGCAGCCTCCCATTTCTTCGCCACCTTATTACTCCAGCTTTGGCTTCTATCCCCAACAGCCTGAAGAGTGGTATTCACCTGTAATGTATGAGTTCAGAAAACTACCCTCTGATAACTTTCCCCTAAAGGAGCCAGACCTCGAGGGAATGCCTGTAGCCAAGAAGACTCGAATGGGTCCTTCAGGGGGGAGAACGAAAGGAGAGGAGTTGTGCGTGGTCTGTGGTGACAAGGCCTCTGGGTACCATTATAATGCCCTGACTTGTGAAGGATGCAAAGGTGGGATGAACAAAATTATAGCAAGTAGAACAATATAGGTTATTTTTGTGTGACCATGTAATTGGCCAGAAGTAGTTTTATTAAATAGGAAGTTCTGTTTGCTTTTATTGATCAGAAGAAGAGTTTGTGAATGAAGGCAGGGACTATGTGGTGGAGCCGTTTGTTATTTAGCAAAGGATTAGCAAGTGAGGCAAGGACTGACTGCACATTGAAGTGAATGCACCCCATGGCAAGTTAGGCTGGCTGAAAGCTTCCCTTTCCTCAGTGCAGACATTTTGATCTTGTAATCACTTGGATTTCTAATGCATTCCCTTGCCAATGTTGGCGGAGTTCCTTCCCTGGAATGGCCGCCCCAATAATGTCAGTGAAGTGAGTGGACTGGCCTGCCCATTCCTTTGTTCACAGAGATCTATGTGTGTGCAGAGCATCACTGCTTGAGGTAGCTCTTAGTAATCTATTACAAATGGAATTGCATGTGACGCAGTATTCCTAACTGAGAGACAAATATGCCCGTGGTTCCTAGGAGATTTAGGGGAGCCTTGCTTAATAAATCAGATGATAAAGTATAGTGGTTAGCAGGACTTTTTTCAGTGGGATATCTTATAAACTTCTAGTGGGATACCATTACATATCTGAAATAAATTGGTGTATAAATGCTAATTGCACCTGCACCACCAAATGTTTTCAGTAAGACAGATATTCTATGGGCTTTGTATTTTATTTCTCACCTCAATAGAATGTAAGATACCTCTTTATCCAATCAACTCTTAATAAAATCAACCTGTTTGCTGCTAATAATAATGTCTGCAGGTACCATTTTTGCATTGATGATGAATTTTTGATAAAACATGGATTTTAAAAATCTGTTTAAGATAAAAAAGCAGATTATGATTTATTTTAAAAGTAGTAAAATGTTTTCAACAGGCACTGAAGAACTCAGCTTTAAATCTAACCTTTCCCTTCCTTAATCTCCGTATGGAAATGTACTAAACTCTAGGGAATTATGAAACAGCAACTATGTGGCTCTGAGTGAAAGCACCACATAATTTGCATTTCAAAAGTGGTCAGTGTCAGTCAAATATATTTCAATGGAGACTGTAGACAAGACATTTTAGATGCAACGTCAAATGGACAGTGAAGTGCAAGGTTTTTGTTTTGTTTCTTTTTAAATAAAAGAAGTAGTTTTATTATTCTGCAATAAAAATGGTGGCTGGTTACTGAGAGGCATGTCTAAGCTGGGAATTAGATATTATAGATATATCTATATTAGATATATCTAATATATTAGATATATTAGATAAATATACCACTTTAGAGGTGGTATATTTCTGTTTTACAAAGGAGTGATATCCAGTGTTGTATGAGTGGACTTCTTATGCAACAGGACTTCCCCTTGTTCCCCCACCCAACTGCTCTGGAAAGTCCCCCAACCATTGGTTTGTGTGTGTGAAAAGGATGGAGAGGAAACTGAAATCCTTTTGTGCACACAGAAGACAATGCACTTCCAATAGTAGGGTGCTGGGGCCAAGTGACTTCATCCTGCCCTGCTTTTAGGAAGCACCAAATTGCCTACTTGGGAGAAAGAGCACTGAACTTACTGATCCCTTTTATAAACACATTCCAGATTTCTAGGCTTTTACATATATTTCTGTTGCACACATCATGATCCAGGCCTCCAGGTACTTGGATAATGGGAATATAAGATCAGCTACATCTCTTTATCATAAGGGACAGAAATAAATATCCATTAAAGCAGAACATATGTTCTACTGGGTTAAAAGGTATTTGCGTTACTGAAGAGTTGATCCTAATAAACTCATTCTTTTAAAACAGAAACTAGTTTCATATTGGGATCTTATTTTGCACGTATCGTTCTTTCTCTAGGCTTCTTCAGAAGAAGTATCACCAAAAATGCTATATACAAGTGCAAAAATGGAGGGAACTGTGAGATGGACATGTATATGAGGAGAAAGTGTCAGAAGTGCCGTCTTCAGAAGTGCAAGGAAGTAGGAATGCTGGCGGAGTGTATGTATAAATATATTTGCATTGCATAATCAATGTCCATTGATTCAATTGTGTCTCCTCTGAGTGTGAGTAAGCTTGGGCCTCGCCCTGTGTAGTTTGCATTCCCATGTTGTAGGAGCTGCAGAAAGGGTAGTAAAACCCAAGATAGTCTTCAGGTTATGGTTGCATAGAGTTGAAGGTGCTCTCTCAGGGACCTCAAAGAGTGCAATAAAAACAATTAGGCAAACTGGGAAAGCAAAATCTATGTGATTTATTTAGTGAAGTGAACAATTCCAGTCAGTCTTTTCTAAAAATGGGACAGTTGAACATAAGCCCAAGTCAGATCATTGGCCCATTTAACTCAGCACTGCTGACCCTGGATGACAGCAGTTCTCCAGGATTTCAGACTTCCCTACCTGCAGACGCCAGGTACTCTACTGGTGAGCTACAGTCTCTCTTCAAAGGGGACTGCATATATGAGAAGTAAAACTGAGTAATATGGTAGCAATATCTAAATAATATAGAAAACAGTGACAGAAGCCAGCATTTATTGAGGAGCATATCACAGAAGCTTCCTTAAGTGAGCATAGCACATCATGAGGCCTGAAAAGGGACATAGGTTCTGACAGCTGCACTTAAGGAAAATGGATAATATAATGGGAAATAGCAGGATTGGCTCAAATACTTTGAACTGTAGTCAACTTCTTGGCATCCGTCTGTCTCAGGGGACAATGGAGGAGTGTGCCTTCAGGGGTGAAGTCAAATTGTTGGAAGGTTGCAGCACCTGCTGTGGCTGTAGAGACTGATACGAGAGAGACATGTTTTGTTGCAGTAAACTGCTTTTGGAGCAAAAGGGGCACCCTGGTCTTTATTTTCCTAAGGACTGTTTTTGGGACTTACATCTACACCACCACCACCACCATCATATATTACTTATACCCAGCCCATCTGGCTGGGTTTCCCCAGCCACTCTGGGCGTCTTCCAACAGGAGATTAAAAATACATTAAAACATCAGTCATTAAAAAACTTCCCTAAACAGGGCTGCCTTCAGATGTCTTCTAAACGTCAGATAGTTGTTTATTCCTTTGACATCTGATGAGAGGGCATTCCACAGGGTGGGAGCCACTACCGAGAAGGCCGTCTGCTTAGTTCCCTGTAACTTTGCTTCTTGAAGTGAGGGAACCGCCAGAAGGCTCTCGACGCTGGACCTCAGTGTTGGTTAAGGACTGGCTAATTTGATAATCTCACTGGAAGCCTCTAGTAAAGGGATCCTCAGGTCTCAGTAAGTATCTCTTCAAAACTCAATAATGCACAAGAGACTGTTTTTCTGATCAGTTCCTATTTGCACTCCCTGAGCCTTTCCTACATTGATCATGCCCCGTTCAACATGCTAACATTTTATTGAATGCCAAGATTGGACACCTAGCCTCCCATCTGTTCTCAACAGAAGTGGTGTTCAAAGAGTCTCTTTGTGAGTGAGCATGGTGGTGGCTGATGTAGGTGGGTTTTTTTCTGATTGGGTGGGGCATGGCTGCACCATGTTGTGCCCCTGGCTTTTTCTTTTCTTCTAGATGCGGCGGTCATTTTGTATTCTGCCACATTCCTACAGCAGCCATTCTGTGATGGCTGCCCATTGCACTTTCTGAAAATTCTGAATGTGCCTATTGGTCCAAAAATGTTGGCAGCCCCTGCTCTAATAAAAGCTTTGGCCTTTGTTAAGTTTCTGCAATATAGAAATGCTGACATTTAAGCATTTTCATGATCTAAAAAGGTGCCACCCCCCAAGTGCTGTTTGCTCCTTGGTGGAGTAGATGGGATGAGGAGGAGGAGTATGGAGACAAGTTGTCCTCTAACTGTAACTCAACAAAGGAGAAAGAAGTTGGATGTGCAGTTGCAGATCTCCCACATAATATGTAGTTTGGTCCTTTAGACCCTCCATACAGTGGTATCTTGGTTTAAGTACTTAATTCGTTCCGGAGGTCTGTACTTAACCTGAAACTGTTCTTAACCTGAAGCACCACTTTAGCTAATAGGGCCTCCTGCTGCTGCCACGCCACCGGAGCACGATTTCTGTTCTCATCCTGAAGCAAAGTTCTTAACCTGAAGCACTATTCCTGGGTTAGCGGAGTCTGTAACCTGAAGCGTATGTAACCTGAAGCGTATGTAACCCGAGGTATCACTGTATTAGTTTAACTGTGGCATGAGAGCTATAGCTATACTTCACTTAAAACTTCTCAATGTTGCCTTTTGTAAAAATCCAAGGATGGGATTAAGGCTGCATTTTGTGTTCCCTATTGATAGCTCCAATCATCTTGGCACAACTGTAGTGTCAAACCAATTTGGGTTCCTACAGGAAATTAATCTACTCTGAGTTTTTAATATACTACTATCCTCCAATCTGATCATGAGATGCTATATTAACTGTTAGGCTTTGTGGAAAACAACAGCCTCTGTCAGCGTTTGGAATTCATGCAAGAATTATAATATAATTAATCTTCCATTCTGCAAATTTAACAAACCACAGAGATCTTGAGAGATGCCCTATTTCCACCCAATGCACAAAACACACAAACAAAAGTGCTGCCAATGTGATAGGAACACTTAGTGAATCTGTAAGTGTTGCATAAAAATAAAACCCCGCAGTGCTGAATCCAGAACCAGCTTTATCTGTTTTAGAGAGATGGAGCTGGGAGGGAGGACTACCATATTGTCCTGATGACTAATAATAGAATAAACTGGGAAAAATGGGCCATTGTAAACAATACGGACCAAGGATACTGGAAATGGAAACTTTTAAAGCAGCTGATCGTTTTCTCAGATTGTCTTGTGTGAAACAAAGATCAACAATAGGTGCTGCCACCTGAATCATCCTCTGCAATGGAAACCTGTACTTCGTTACGATGAGGCTCATATAACTCATAACTTAAACATAAGCATCTTCTTGTGAAGTACAGCAATGAGGACATTTTGCAAACTGCTTGCCTAACAACCCTGAAATAAGGAGTGGTAGTAGATATATATTTAATTCAAGGTCTGCCAGAGTGTTTAATCTTTAAATTCCTATTTGTCAATTGACTTCAAGTGAAATGTTTTATTTGAAATTAACATCACCTTGGACTTTGCTTCATTGACTCAGTGCTGCAGTTATCCCTGTGCAATTTTGCTATATTGCAAAAAGTGAGAGAGATGAAGTAATCTTAGCAATGTTTATGGTTTTACTTGTGTGCTCCTGATTAGTCATGTATCACAGACAACTCAATGTATAATAATGTCATTCTATGTATGTAAAATACAGTTTTTCATCCAAAGCTGTATACCTAATTCAAAGAAGCAGAATTTGAAAACGATCTTCTCTCAAATCCACTTTGCACACTACAGAAGGAATGGGGACCCTACATCTCTCCATATATTGTTGGACTCCAACTCCCATCTGGAGAGCTGCAGTTTCTCTATCCTTGCATTACAGAAAATACCTCACCTTTGGAGGCTAGGAAGGTGGCTCTGGGAGAGACTCCCCTTGCTCCTGTAGCCCAATTATGGCTCTGGTTTTGAAGTGAGATCCTCTTGACAACTTTATTGCTATCCTTTAGGCACTACACAAAATCTGTTGGACTTTTGGTGGGTAAAATGGGTTTATTTCTTAGGTGTTTTCTTAACTGCTATTGTTGTTGTTGTTGTTGTTTACATATGATTTTTGTTCACTGTTTTATATATTTTATAAAACAGCCATAAATGGCACCTATATGGTAGCATACACATTTTAATATAACAAATAAGAGTTTGTTCACCATGCGTTACTGTGTGTCACTATAGTATATGGAAGGAGGAACAAACAAACAAACCTGCATAAACACAATGTGCTGAGGTTCCAGTGTTCGAGTTAGGCATGTGTTTTGAGATAGAACTTGCTTCTAAAACATTCCAATGTTTTATCTAAACCATTCCAAAGGCATGTGATAGACATATAGGAACAGCTTGGACCGGTTAAAGATGGTGAAAAACTCCACACATCATACAGCCAGTAGTGAAACGATGAAACTCAATGTCAAATCTAGTGCTTGCGTCATTATCATAAATACTATTTTGCTCCTTCAAGATATTTTAATCCTTTAAATTTCCTCTTCTTTCAGTGATAGAGGAAGCTTGCTTTCTATGGTGCATAACTTTATAATATACAGGATATTAAAAGCATTCACCACTGAATTAGGTATTTTCATTGATATCTTCCTTAACAATATCTAGTCACTGAAAGAGGCTATTTTCCTGTTCTCTAGCCTCAAAAGTAGGGAACTAAGGTGACCCTGTTTTTAAAAAAACTACTTTAATTTAAATTGTTATGATGATTCTGCCTTTGGATTAATATTTGCCTGCTTCTGTGTAGTGGTAGGATGTCATCTGAAGTTAAGGTAGATCTTATTAACACAATGTAGCAAAAGATGCAATATTCCATATTAAGGAAATCATAGCCTTTCATACCATTTATTATTTCTGAACAGTAAAAAACATATTGCCATATATTAACTGTGTCTGTGGATGTTCCCTTGTCCAGTCTGTGGGGATATCCAGCCTTGACTCACATGATCATCTGGGTATATAATGCATGGATGACTTACTGTTGTGCTAGTAAAAAGATACTTTTCATGCAGCTTCACTACAGTAGTGAGTTGTGTCCAATGTTTTTTTCATGGAAGGCTCTTTCATCCAAAAGAATCTTCCATGAATGGAAAGGGAGCAGGGAGGGAGTTTCTGGGCATCATCATTTACTCTGCAACCTCCTTAGCCGATCAAAAGACTGTGGAGACCTTCTGTGGCAATTTGAGAGGCTGTGTGTTTTATTCTTTGAATCTGAATGCCAATATTTTAAAGTAAGTAGAGCAGATACGGAGTGATTATTTCAGCTGAAACAATTACCAACCAGAAGAAAGGTTGGTAAACAGTGTTAGTTCCGTACGTGAAATGCAGATTATCTCCTTCTACTCCTACCAAATTTTTGTGTTCTATTAATACAAAAGAGAGAGAATTAAACACCACACACACACACACACACACACACACACACACACACACATACCATTATTCATAAACAATCAGAGTAGTTTACAACAATTGTACATAAAAACAATACAATAAAAACCGTATTAAAAAGTTAAAATTAGAAATCAGCTAACTATTATGAAAATATGTATTCTTAATTTCCTGCAAAGCCAGATGGAATGGGAAAGTTTTCAGAAGGCTTTTAAAAGTTGAAGCAGAAGACGTCTGCTAATTTGTAGAGTATGAACATGGGCCAGTTACACTAAAAGCTTGATTTCATGTTGTTTTCAAATGAGCCTCGCCAATTTGGGGAACAACTAAGAACAACTAAGAACACTTCTGCAAATGATCTCAGCGACTGAGCTGGAATCTAAGAGTTCAGGCAGTCTCTGAGGTACCTTCGCAAATGTAGAACTTAAACCATAGTCCCCCTTTCTGATCCATAGTCTCCTTTTTTAATCCAATCAAAAATGGTCCCCTACAGATATTGCTCCTCATCATCATATTTAATCTGTACCTAGGAGTGTTGAAAGACAGTTCACTATACATACACAGTTTAATGCTTTAATTTATTTAGGCAATTTTATATACTACCTTTTTAAAAAACCTCATAAAATAAAAAACTAAAATACAATCAACGTAAGAACAAAAGAACAAAACACTGATTGAAACAGTAGACTGAGATACAAAGGGCAGGGAGAATAAAAATGGGTTTGCATGTCATCAAAAGGCTAGTTACAGGTGTCACCAGATAGGCCTCTCTGGAAAGGCATCCCACAAGCTAGAACAATCAAAAGTACCATTTGCCTGATCATCTCCTGCCTCACTTCTAATAGCAGGGAAGAAACGCATGTAGCTTCCAGGCAGATTGATAGGCATTCCTTTCAGTACTTGGAATCTAAGCTGTTTAGGGCTTTAAAAGGTCAGCATTTGCAGCTTGAATGGGTCTCAGAATTAAACTGACAGCAAATGAAGTTATTTTAATACCACCGAGGTATGTTCCCAGCAAGCTGTTTCACTTAAAATCCTTGCATATGTCTTTTGTACTAGCTGCGATGTCTTAACTGTCTTGAAGGGCAGTCCCGTGAACAACACATCTCAGTAGTCTAAGAGGTGACCAGAGCATGGATAGCTAGACTATCACTATCTAGGAGAGGTTGTGCATAGTTGTAATGCAAGCCTGAGCTAGTAAAATGAATGAATGCTCAAAGAATATATTAAACACATATGGACCAATGTTTATGTGTAATGTGGCTCATACACATGCTGAAATGTCTGATGTATATATTCTTTATGCACAACGTTTCAGGTTTGTTAACAGAAATACAGTGCAAGTCGAAACGGCTTAGGAAGAATATATCACAGCCTGTAGATCAGACAACTGGTGAAGATGCTGAGGGACCTGACCTGAAGCAAATGTCATCTACAACCAAACTCTACAAGGTAATAAAATTATTGTGACATATTGTTGTGTAGTTGGCTACAACTAATAAGCATAGAAGATTGCATGAGAATAATTACCTATTAGTAACTTCCTGATTTTTTTATAGATCAGTCACTGAGTTTGTTAATTATTCATGCAGATAGTTAAATATGCTATTTGACATTAAAGATGTTTGGTCTCTGTGTTCAGCCTTAAAAATCTCACTGGTGAAGCATTGCAAGATGTAATGCTGTGGCTTATTTTCATACTTTGTAAAGTGCATTACTTGCATTTAGTTTGCACAATTGTGCCCCAAAAGCCTTGTTAATGGTCAGATGTTCTTTAAGTATATTCCATCATGTTGTGGTTTGTGATTGTCCTAAACCATTGCCATCCCAGAGAGGTGACAGCTCAGGCAAGAGGACAGAGAGTCAGCTGGTTAGCTGGATCAGGGAAGTTTCAATCTACAGTTCTACAAGTATTGGCTCATAAATCTTTTGGTCAGAGTTTGGCTACCTCAGCAACTACCAGGGTTTTATAGCCTGGCCAAGAGAATATTTCTGCAAGCTCTAGTGCTGTATCTTTAGGGAACATATATAGTTTTTCAGTCGCAGGCTTCTTCTCAGGAGTATAATTCAGTGACCTACCTGATGGGGGAACACTTTCCAGGGCCTTCCTGCTTAACGTCTCAGAGTTTGTGGGCAGTGGTACTTCTCAAAGTTTTAGTGCAAGGGATTCAGGGTCCAAAGTAGAGGGTGCTGCCTTAGAAGGATGGGAAGTGGGTCTGACTCCTTCTTTGAGCTGCTGCTGCTGGAGACACCGGTCTCAGTCGAGGGCCATGACAGTGATGTAGCAGTAGGTATGGTCCACCTGAAGTATTCATTTATTGGTAGAAGGTGTCTTACTATGGCTATAACGGGATCTCCGTCCCCTATATCACTGAATAGAATATCTGGTGCTGGTTTCGGAAAGACAATTGTCATCTCAAGTGTATGAATCCCCTGAAAAATGCATCTGTATCATATTCAGGTTTACATGCATATATAATTTAAGAATGCAATTACATGCATATATAATTTAGGAATAGCTGCTTCCGTTCTTGGCACCAAGCGGCTCAAATCTGTACAGTACAGTTAAAATATGAGGCAGGGAATCTTATCCAGCTACTGATGCTTATGGTTTCTTATTGCCAGTATAGGAGAAAGTAGAACTAACCCCAGAACAGCAGAATCTTCTTCACTATATCATGGATTCATATAATAAACAGCGAATCCCTCCCGAAGTGTCTAAAAAGCTTGTAAGTATCCCATTTAATACAATAGATACGTAAGCATTCGGAATCCAATAATTGCTTGAAGCATTTCCAGTTTAAATTCTAGCAGTTCTAGAAATCGTCTCCCCTTGGAAAATAGTAAGGATTAATAGATATTGGGCACAAACTTGCTCTCCAAATACAGAGCGCTGAGTGTGGAAGTTCTGTATGCAGGTAAACAAATGCATGCAGGTAGGAGAGGAAAAGATGGGCCACTTCATCTCTCACTTCCCCACTTCCTTTCACCTGCCATTCAGCAAATGCAGCCTAATGGTGACGGCAGCATACAGAGGCCGCTGCCATTGAACAGCAAATACAGGACAAGTAGGGAGGAGAAAGGAATAGGTCAACCTAATCTGCTCTTTTCCCTAGCTCCCCCTTTATGGTTTTCACTTCTCCTCTGGATTCAAGGGTGTTTCGGGCTCCACCACATTCAGCCTCTTTTGCTTCTTTCTCTACGTGGCCCTGAGTCGGTACATGAATTTACAGGAGGTGCATTTGCTCTACGTAGTAGGATGTGGAAAGAGCCACCACACTACACCCACAGAAAGCAAGATTGCTATTCTTCTTCACCTTGCGCAGCAACTCTTGACCTCCAGCTCCTTTAAAAATAACTTTTAAAAACCACTTGTTAAATGCTGTCAGTCTAGCATAATCAGTTTTCTCAACCTTTCATAACCTATATTATCTTGAGTCATTCTGTTGAAAGGAGCCACCCAATTCTAAAGTCTTTTTATGCACCATATCACAAATAAAGCTGACTATTACTATTGATATGATTACTAGTACTATTATTAATAACAACACAATTCCATTTTAATGCTCAGTTGCAAGAGGAATTCAGCGCTGAAGAAAATTTTCTTATCTTAACGGAAATGGCCACCAGTCATGTACAGGTCCTTGTGGAATTCACCAAAAGATTACCAGGTATAATATGTTAAATACATTTGGCCTTACACTTCCTCTCTGTGTTTTGGTTAGACAGCTTCACTGCTGTATGTCTGTGTTGGTGTACTTGTTTTATTCACACCGAAAAAAGGGGGAGGGAACTACCTCCAAACCTAATCAAAAACTGGAAACTATCCTCAAAATTTAGAAACTTGAGCAGTTTAAGATCAAATGCTCTATCAACATTAATTCCATTTTACCATTAATTCACCATCAACATTCATTGCACTACTCTTTTGCAATGTACATGAGCACAGGTATTTGCCCCAGCAATGTACAGTCTATTTTTTGTTTCTCCCTTGTTGACAAATAGTTTTGTGATATCCTTCAACTTGTTTGTGCCCATAAACCTCAAAAGCCAGCTTTGCTAGATTCCTATTGTTAAGCCACCATTTCCCAGTACAAGTGGACTGGATAGGTCTTGGTACTCTTTCATTTGCCACAGTGTTCTTCAGGCTTGAGTCCCCAGATGTTGTTGGACTACAACTTCCATTATCACTGACCTTTGGCTAAGTTGGCTGGGAATGATAGGAGTGGTAGTCCAACAACATCTGGATACCTAAGACCAAGGTTGAAGAACACTGATTATCACTCATGTTTACACGAGTTGGGTTTAGGTAGCCCAGCTCAATGTCTGCTGCTGACATGCTTCTATTTTATTTTGATACCTCTGCCTGGCTTGGAAAAAATAGGACACATTCACAGACCTCTGTATCTTTTGGGGATCCATGTCAGCTGGCTGAAGGCAATCATGCTTCCTTTCAAAATAATTAGTAAAGAAACATATTGATTGTATTGTGCATGTTTGTTCTCTCATCTACATGCTGCTTTATATTTTCACTGTTATATTAAAATCCCTTTTTGTAACCCCAGTTCCTTTTTGTAATATAAACAAAACCGGGGGTGAGGGTGGTAGTGAGGGAAACGAGGCCAGTGGCCAAATGAAAGCGCTCAGAACTACTCAATTGAGTCCTGAATGAGGATAATGCAACCAGCTCTCCTTTAGCTGAAGCAAGAATTTAATTTATAATATGCTAATCAAGTTGAAAGTAATCACCCTTGCAATCTTAAATAAGATTACAAGCATGTGCACGTGTGAGAAACTTGGATGGATTCTTGCCTGGTGGCTTGAGAAAGAAAACAGAATGCACTCTTCAAACACAACTGCCTGTAATTAGATAGTCAGCTGGTCTTGTGCCAAATCTGCAGATGTGCCAACCATCTTTAGGTGCCGCCACCCTGCACAATATTCTTTGCTGGCAGAAAGATGCTGGCTACTGGCTTGATACTGTCACACTTTAATTCCAGGTTTTCAGACCCTGGACCATGAGGATCAGATTGCTTTGCTGAAGGGTTCAGCTGTAGAAGCCATGTTCCTTCGGTCAGCTGAGATCTTCAACAGGAAACTTCCTGTAGGACATGCCGACCTCCTGGAAGAAAGAATTCGTAACAGTGGTAGGTGCCTCTGATGGATAGCAAAAGGACCTTGAAATGCCAGGCCAAAAAAGAAAAAAGCAAGCACCCATTTTGCGAATGTTACACATCTCAGTGTTGAGTAGCAAGCTTACTTAGTCAGCTTTGAGTCCAAAGGTTATCAAGTAAATGTTTAATCCTAAAAATATAAGCCACGAGAATAAAACCGTTTCTTTGTAACCAACTATATTTGTTCAAGGATATGCATAAACAAATTAGGGCAATGAAATGTACTTCTTGCACATTCATTCCAATAAAACCATCTCACCCATTTCAGTTATTACAATGTAAAAAGATAGTACAAGGTCTACCATTGCTAATGTGTACCTTTGGGAGGGGAAGCCTAGATTAGTAAGGTAAAAGGGTTCATTTGGAATAAATCCACTGAGTTACAGTGGATGTGTAAATACATTCATTATATATTTGGCTCTAAAAGAATGGTTAGATTTTGAGTTTAAAGCTATGTGTGGATTATTATAATTTACAGCTTGCTTCTGTACCCAAAATACATTTTAATTCTAACAATTATGCAGCAACTCAACTCACAGAGTTACTGACTTTCTCAAGGCCACCCAGTAAACATCACAGCAGGGTTGGGATTTGAACTCATGTCCAACCTCAACACACTAACCCTTGCACTGTAATGGTATCATTACTAGGTACACACACGCAAAAGACTTCATCTTTTAATATATAAATGAGAGGGTAATGAGGTGTTAAGGTGTGTCGGTCAGATAGTCACACTGCCATATTTGCTGCCTGTTTTGCTGCCATGATTTCAAGAATAAAATTGCTCTTCCTTGGCTGCTGTCTCCCATCCCACCAAACCCCACTAGGACCAGGCATAACTATGTCTTCTACTGCTGCAGTCCTATGCACACCCACCTAGAAGTCAGTCCCCTTGGACACAATGAGGTCTACTTCTGAGTAAATATGCAGAGAATTGCACTGTATACTTTGTTATATCTCTAGAGGGTTTTTCAGCTGCTGCCCTTTCTAACATGTTACAGTCAATACACTGAAAAAGAATTATTTTGATGTGTTTTGACTGGTGTATTTTCTCAGCCTGAATTGACATGCTGCCTGTCATTGGGCTGACCTATATAGCTTATCTGTAGAAATAGAGATATTTCTCTCCAAAATGTTTCTAAGCACAGCTTTAAGGACATCTGATAACCTCTTCTTTCTGGTCTATCTCTTGCTTCTGGAGATGTCTCCTAAATCCTCTAACTGGATCAGGGGTATAACTGATTGGATCATGGTTCTTGAGGAGCGGGAGATGCTTGCAGGTAAAAAGTAACAGTGTACAAGCTACATACAATGAGTTCAATCTGTACGCAGTAGCTTACATTTCCAAATTGTTTGCTTTTTCATGTTCTTCAGAATATAATGAGTGACAGCTGTTTTCTGGCTAAATGGCACCGGTCCTTTCTGGTCCTTATCAGCCCATCTTTGAACAAGAGGAAGCATGCAGACTCTGCAGGGCAACTGTGATTATGTAGGCATCTTATGTTTGAACCAGCTCTCATTTGGTGGCCTGTTTTTAAACAGTGAGCAACCTGTTCCACCCCCAGCCCAAGCTGGTTTTTATATTTTAAAAAATAAGCAATTGCGGTCTAATTTTGCCTGTTTTCCTCTTCCCTCCCCCTCCCTATTCCTTTTGTGATGTGTCTTTTTGTGGTAGATGTTCAACAAGTGGCAGGCACTGTCTACCTGGGAAACTTGGTCTCTAGGATTAAAAATACCCAAACAGAACAAAACAGTTACAATTCATGACAGATATATATCCAAGAATGACTAGAGGTTCAATATGCCTTACCTTTAACAGACTGTTCCCCATCTATTAGCAAGAGCTCATGCTAATCATAAATACTATAACTGTAGAATATACTTTCAATATAAAATGAATCGTTTCCAAACTTTGAAGGAAAAATGTACAGGGATACTTCACTGGTTTGTGTTAAGATGGTTTTAATGTGAATATGAGTGTCAAGCTGTCGGCTCGGTCTTATTGTCAGGCTTTGAGAAATGCAGCTACAAAAGCTCTTCTCCCTCCCATCGTGACTGTTTTGCATGACAATTTTGTGTGTGATAGATAAACTGGAATGGTTGCAGAGTAATGATAACCTTTTTGCACATTTATGCCTAGGCTGCTTCTGTTTATGTTGTTATTAATGCAAGGCTACTGGCTTAATAGCTTGTGAGATATAATGCTATCTTGTCTACAGCCCTGAGTTCCTTTGCATAAATATATTTCTATCTAACATCAAGACTCTCACCTACGCTAGCAACTCTTGTTACCTAATTATAGCATGTGCTTATTTTCACCAATAAAAGCTTGTATCTATTTTCACTAGAATTAGAAAAACAGACTAGATCATCTTTTTGTGTATGTGAGAGGGAGATATTTACTATATCAGTGGTTTAATTCCAATTTTATTTTTTTAATAACCCTATGTTATCACTTTGCATATATTCTAGAAGCAAAAAAAGAAGAAGCAAAGGATTTTTTAAAAATCAAAGCTTTTTCAAAGCAAATATTCTGGAAACAATCTAACACGCATGCAGGGAATTGCATATATATATATATATGAGACATATTTCATTGTGCCTTCACATTACAAATTACAAGAGTTCAGTAAAGAAAAACAATAGTGAAATGCATCCCAAAATAGCAGCAAGAGTCATAAAAACCCAGAAATAGCAATTAAAAAACCCATTCCAGATGAGGCAGTATATAGGATTGGATCCAGACTGGGACATACTTAAAAGTAAACCCATGGATTTGAGTGGGTCCACTAAGGATGACTAGGTCTGGATCCAACCCAAAATGTTTTGATTGCAAAAAGCCTGAGTAAATATGAAAATCTTAGTTTGGCACCTAAAACTAATCAAACGGGGCACCTGTGTAGACAGCCCTGATGGAGGTTTTTTGGTGGGGTGCATGGTTCTCTTACACAAAAGACTTCTCTCTTATCACTACCTACTGAAACTCTGGTGCGGGGGGGGGGGGCGTACTCAGAGAGGCTGAGTAAATAGATGATGCTGACAAACCAGCAACAGTTTCATATGGAAGCAAACAGCCAGTTAAATACCCGTGTCCCAAGCAGTGTAGGCTTTAACATTCAAAACCTAGTGCCAAAAATATTATGACGTCAGCCCTAGTTGAGCCGCTCATGATAGGATCTGCCGAAGTTGAGACGCTGCCGCACAAAAAGGCCTTCTCTTTTGTACAAACAGAACCCGTGTCATCAAGCGTCTTAGATGGAGAAGCGTTTCATGCATTGGCAGGATAATATGGGAGGGGGCACCCGCCTTCGGTAGTTTGGAACCCAAGTCACATAGGTCTTCAAAGCAGGCACCGGCATCTTGAACTGGCCTGGAAGCAGATACAGTGGGACCTCGGTCGTCAAACACCTCCATTGTCGTATGTTTCAGCTCCTGAAAACCTTGAAATAACTGCTCCGGTTTTTAAACGCAGCTTCCGTTTTGAGTTTCCCTATTGTATTGAGGCTTAAGCTTTCAGTTTTCGGTTTTCGAACGTTTCGGAAGTCGAACGGTCTTCCAGAACAGATTACGTTCGAAAACCAAGGGTCCGCTGTATAAGGCTACTCTTTGTAGATTGTAAAGAAATTTCAGAACAAATGTTCCCTGATGAAGAGCTGTCGCCTTGAGAAGTGTTGGAACCTGTCACTTAGGAATCATTTTGTTTTATGCTGAATGTGACTCTGGGTCAAACATGTGCTGTGGGGCTGATCAGGACCAAGGGGAAAGTTTGGCTCATTGCCTGAGCAGTCAGTGAAAGCTTGGCAGAGCTTTGTGCAAGATTTATAAGGATTTTTAAAAACATATTTCTCACGATAACATTTAAATAAAACTGAAGTAAATTTTCTAATGAAGGGCTTTGAATTGGGAAACGACTTTGGTTAGATGAATACTGTGAAATTAACTATAATATAATGAGTAATTAACATGTTTATTTCCCAGTAAAACAAGAGCTCATTTATTCCTTGATTTAATATCCACCGGCAGCTTCAAACCTATCCAGATGAAAGATCTCTTCATCCATATTAACAATAGTCTTAGTCATAATTAATTAGCACGAAACATTCTTCCTCACAGCTGTTTTTCTTCTTTTCTTTTAATTTAAACATCCAGCTGTAATAAGCACCCCGTCTTCAAGTACATAAATCTAAAACTTATTACTCCAAGAAGGGAAATTAAAATAGCATGTATAATAAAGAGCATAAGCCTGAAAGCGGAGATAAAATTTGACTTGTATCATAGAAGAAATAAAAATTTAATCTACCATTCATTTAAGACCGGACACTACGGTAACACTGAGACAGTATTTTCATTGGGCATAATCATGGAAATCATATATATTACTTGGAGTAGTACAGATTTCCCTGACTATGTTGCATGCACTATTTTATGCATTGGGGAGAACCCTTTTTGTTTTCTTTTGAGGGCTGCGGAGTGAAATGAGCAGGTCCAGAGCTGGCAATGGGCTTGCAGTGGCCAAAGCAAAGTGTGTAGAGATACACCCTCTCTCTGCTACCCTTTTCTTTCCCTCCCTGCCACCTCATTCTCTCTGTCCCTCCCTGCCTGCCCAGTGAGTCACCAGGGGAACAACAGATTGCTCTTGCCAGAGACCTGAACTAGCCCGTTGCAGAGGGCTTTTCCCTGCTTCTCCTTCCATCTGGCTTCTGCCCCCTGTTTTCTCTTTCCCTTCCAGGTTTCCCCATCAAAGGGAAAGCAGGCTGAGGGTTGTAGGTGGCTCTAGGGCACAGACTGTCTACTACCCCTGCTGTATAGGAAGGCAACAGATCCTACAGGACGAGGGCTTGTTTGGCTAAGGAGCATAAGACCAAGTCCATTCAAAATATAGCAAAAGATACAAAATGAGTAGCAAGAGCCTACCGCTGATAGGCTCTTCACAATGTCTGGGAGAGGAAATAAAATTATATACATTTAGCGATACATTTATTTATTTATCCGATTATTGAATGGATCTGTGAGATCCATGTTGTCTCTTTAGATAATATGCATATAAAGGCAGCCAGACGAAATAATGAGCAGAGAACAGGACATGGTCCTTCATAATCAGAAAGATATGAGGAGTTGTGAAACAGAACAAGCAGGCACTGATTTTACAGTGGCAGCATATACTGAATTAAGGCAAGAGTATTCAGATTTAAGCCAATGGCCAGCCCAGATTAAAAATATTTCTGCCAGTGCTTACAATAGCACAATAACATACCGGGTGGCTGTTTTTTAAGCTGCTGTAGCACAACAGGCAGTACACCCCACTCCAGCCACTTGTTTCTGTTGAAGCAAGTTTTTTTAGAGGGTGTACACCACCTGCAACAACCTCGGTATAGTGTTTCACCTTCCCACCTCATAGCACCACAAGAGTCCTGACATGGGGAGATACAGTTTCCTCACCAGCTCCAGCTCTGGTGCAGGAATTTTCCAAGTAATGTATCAAAGCCGTGTGGACAGTGGTGCTGCATGTTGGCGAGGCATAGAAGAGACAGGTATCGAGAGGCAGATGCCATGTGGACTAGTACTCAGACTCAGCTTATAGTCCCACCTTGGTCAAGGTTTTCAACCCTTCCACTCTTCTCTTTCCCCCTTCATGGACAGAAGGGGTGCACATAACACAACCATCATGTGAATTGGCTACCAGGAGGACAAACTGCCATCTTGTGCATGCTGCATGGGCTAAGAGAGAAAATTCACAAAGCTTATGGTGCAGACTAGTGATTTGAACAGATCCATATGCCTAATTAACCTCAGGGGTGTGGGTTTGAGCCCCACATTGGGCAAAAGATTCCCGCCTTGCGGGGGATTGAATTAGATGACCCTTATGGTCCCTTCCAACTCTACCATTTGGATTCTATCTAATTCATTCACAAAGTGGGAGAAAGTCCCAATGGGTCTTAAATGCTAGTATATTGTTTTAAGTGGTTTGTGTACGATGCTTTTGGAAACAAACTGAAGCAGAAAATTTTTTGTTTACGTGGTATATTTCTCTGCTACAATAAAGAAGAAAAACCATCCTTTTTTAAAAATAAATAAATAGCCGTTTTCTATACAGTAGACCCACAGCTTCCGTCTGATTTACTTACGCAATGGCAGCTTTGTACGGGTGGCAGGGAGAGCTGGCAGGGTCAGGGTATAAGTCAGAAAGTGTTATCCAAGATCTCCTGAAGGCCCCACAAGATCTCAGATGACCTTCCCAGAGGCCAATAAGCAAGGTGGAAGGCTTAAAAAGTTCTTTCTGTGCTGGGTTTTCCTGCTGTGAATGGGAGTTTTTAAGCCCTCCACCACACTTACCAGGCTCTGCAAATGTAGGAGCTGGTGTGCAAAGGCAAAATCATCACACAGGATGGTTCCATGTGTGTGTGTGTCTTCCTGACTTTGTGTGATTTTGCCCTTGCACACTTACCCCTGCATTAAGTTGTGGGCCTACTGTACTTAGACTCTGCTTGTACATGAGGCCTCCCTTGTTCTCTCAGACAGGGAAGTGATCCACACTCACTTATCTTTAAAACTGCTGTGCCATCAGGTGTTCCCAGACCTTTTACGAGGCCCTAATAAAGTCCCTCTTTCAGTAAGAGTACAGCTCTCAATCATCAGACACTCAAATAAACTTGTTACAATAATAAACTGATGTTTTCTGGGCATGATATTTATGATGACAGGAACAGGAGAAACATATTAACAGACAGTGGCTTGAGCTTTCAATTTTGCAACCTGAGTCCACTGAGATGAGGAAAATCAACTCTCAAACAACCAAATTATCAGAACGTATTTCCCCTCCATTTATAAGACTCACAGAACAGGCAGTGGAGTAGCTGGTTACAAAGGATAATAGCCCCCTCTCGTGGCTTCAAAAGGCTATGCAGACGAGTACTGTACAGTGAAAGCAGAACAGGTCTGTTAATAAGGATGAATAGAACTCTCTCTCTGTATGTGTGTGTGTGTGTACACCTGATACATATGAATTTTCCCACTGCCTGTTCTTCTTAAGGTTTCAGGCTGTTGCTCAATTTGGGTGTTGAATCATGCTGAGTTTCTATTACATACGTTGGATTGCAACATAATTCTAATGTTGTTTGTGCTTTACTCTGTTTCTCTCTTTATTCTCCTTTCCACTTGATAAGGATAATGATTAATAGTTACTGCCAAGGCGTACACAGGCCCTATGAGGCCCCTTATTGTCATGGGCCTCATTGACGCTTAAAATGAAATATGATCTCTTCCTTTATAAGCCTTTCAGTTTTAGGACTATATCTGCACATTACTCATGATTAGAAAATGCATCTATTTTGGACTTGAAATGAATTGGAAAATCACCACATACTTGAAACTTGATGTGCTTCGGAAACAAAATTCCCCGCATATTGGCCCCAATACAGATAAAGTCAGTTTCAGTCACATTGAAATCCGTAGCAGCTACCATGAACCTAAGTCAGTTGATTTTGATGCAAGGTGGAGCACAGCTGCAAAAATTGAAGAAGTGTGAACTTCAAAATAATGCTGCATTTTGCAAACCAAACCAAATTTCTCCCTACTTTAAAGTATTCCTTTCCCAAGCTCTTAAATAGATCCTCATTGCATTTGTATGTTCCTGCCTGATTCTTTCCATTCTTAAAATTTACCAAAATTTACTGGGGAGCTGCATGTAAGTGTTGGAACCTGAACTCATGATCTGATGTTTTGCAGCCAGAGGCCCTAAGATGCTTAACTCTGCAGGCGAAAGAATCAGCTCACAACTGATACCCTTGCCAGAAGGTCTAACTCCAGCACCAGTAAATCAGAACAGAGTGAGGGACTTATGGCTCTCCAGGTGTTGTTGGGATACAGTTTACATTGTCTCTGACCATTGTGAATGCAAATTTCTCTCAGCTAAGGAATCAAAGATAGCCTTGGGAGACTTCTCTGCAGTGGCAAATTTCTAGCCCATGGGCCTAATTAGGCTTCCCAGGTTTATCTTGGCCCACAGGGCTACTTTGGCAAAGCCACACCCCTACTGCCTTACACCTGATATAATATACATGTGGACAGATGTCGAAAGCAGGTTTGCCTGTACAGTTTCAAGCATTCACTGATCAGAAGATCATTGACACATTTGCCATTGTAGGCAAATGAAAATGGATTGCTTGACATCATTGTGATAGGTGACTGACAGGTTGGCAACCCTGCCCATCTATCACACCAGACCTTTGAGGGCCAGGGAGATAATGATGTGCCCCCACTGGTGAGATTTAGGTGTTCATCCCTGCTTCAATGTGCCTTAGCTGCATTTCTTGATTAGCCAGATGTGAATAACTGTGTGAAAGACGAAATGAAGTACCTCAAATACCAAAAGGGCTAAATATATCATAATAAATGATACATGATACTCTGTCTAGTTTCATGCTACTCAACAACATAGTGGTAGAACTATATATTTTATTGATGTTTAAGTACTTCTCAATATTTTGTATTATAGGCATCTCAGATGAATATATAATACCCATGTTCAATTTCTATAAAAGTGTTGGGGAACTGAAGATGAGACAAGAAGAATATGCTCTACTCACAGCAATAGTTATCTTATCTCCAGGTAATTTCAGTTTCTTTGTTATTAGATCAACGTGAGAAGAATAAAAAGTCAGGTGAATGACAGAAGGATATGATTTTGATGTCTCATATTAAAAAGTAATTGAAAAACCATTTTGCTAATGCAGTTTAATAATAAAAAGGTATAATTACAATGAACGGGAACTTCATTTGCTACTCATGAGCAGGAGTAAGAATATTGAGCTACAAGGATTTCACTTTAGTTTTTGTTTTTATAACTTACAATTAGATGGGTTCATAATGCCAGGTCTAGAATTATACAAAGGTCCAAGGACTGCCTGAGCCCTTTTAGTCCAGCTTGATCACTGAGTTCATCCGGAGAAGCAATGTACGTTGTCCCTCATGTTTCAGAAGCTTAACTGACTACAACAGTTGTTTGTTTTTAAACAGCAGTCACTGGGGGCTGTTGATCAGTGGTCCTGTAAATACATAATCAGAATTAATGTCAATGAAACTTGTGACAAGTTTTTACTGGTGCACAACCTGGTACCACAATTGTTTATATGTGAACAACGTAGCCTGTAAAGAGAAAACCCATGGATTTCAATTGCAGTTATGAACACTGTAATCTTATGAATTGACAAATGTGAACTAACTCTCATAATTGTTTTTCCCCTCCTTTCCCACGTATCCCGCCCCCCGTAAATTTGAAACCAGACCGGCAATACATACAGGACAGAGAGTCTGTGGAAAAACTTCAAGAGCCACTGCTAGAAGTTCTGCAAAAATTCTGCAAGCTTTATCACACAGATAGTCCTCAGCACTTTGCATGTCTCCTGGGTCGTCTTACAGAACTGCGGACTTTTAATCACCACCATGCAGATATGCTGATGTCTTGGCGAGTGAATGATCACAAGTTTACACCTCTTCTTTGTGAAATATGGGATGTACAGTGATAAAGAAAAATGGGTTTGAATGTAATCCTAAACACATTTATTTGGAACGAATGGAACTTCATAAACATGTGTTCAGGACCGGGTTCCTTGTTTTGCATTTTTTAAAGCACCAAAAAAGCACATGTAATAAGTGTTTCTTATGGGAGTTAGAGGTTATTTTCCAAGCATTATGTAAAAGACTTTCACATGGGAAGATGGACTAAGTGCCCTGGCCTCTAAGCCTCTTGGAACAAAGCTGAATCCTTCCTGCCCGAAGCAGGCATCCTGTTATACCTTTCGAAATTAAACTGATTGTATCTCACTTTCTTCATTTCAAATGCCTGAGAAGATTATCAAGCTTTTTCATCACATTATACTTATTCTAAATGTTTCATTAATATACAATGTTGTAGCTGTTATAAGAATTCAGTAAAAGTGACTCTGCCCAAACATGTCTTGGTTTAAACGTCAAAATACTAAGTTACGGTTTTAAGTACTATTTTTTTCTCCTTTCCAGAGGATGACTCTAACAAAAGTGGTGATCTGTTATATATTTTGGAAAGTGGTTTGTCTGTCTGTCAGTCCATTCTCTAGGCATTTGAACCCCTCTTTGTCACTCAATTTGGTATGACATATCCTGAGATAGAGAATTTTGAGAGTGCGTTTTGCTCTACATTTGGAAACTGTCAGGGGCCATGTTGAATCAAGATAGCTGACCAAACCATTCCAAATTTTGCTGATTTGGACATGTATGAAGGTAGCACTGCACAATTTGGTGTGTTGGTTGCTAAGATGTAGGGAGAGGTTTTGATCTATATTTGGATAACTTTGGATGCGGTTTTTGAATCAAGAAGGTAGACTGAATCATTCAAAACTGCACTGATGATATTAACCAAATTTGACAGGAAACTAATAGGACTTTGCACCCAATATCTGAGTTGGGCCAATTCAAGCAGATCTGGGCTTTGACTGAGGTGGAGTCAGCCCTGGGTCAGCCTGGTTTGGGCTGCCTGCAGCAGTCTGGAGTTGTTAGGGGTCAGGGCAGTAGGTGGGAAGAGAGGCATGGCACTTCTGCAAAGAGAAGTGAGGGGCTATTTCCAGCTGGTGACTGGATGGTGCAATCTGGCTGGGTGCAGGGCTCTGCTTTGCCAGCATGTTACCCACAGGGAACACACTGGGGAGGCAGATCTTCGCAAGACTGAAAAACGGGTGGCCAAGACTGCTGTTGATGTTTGTGCAACATCATGGACTTGAAAGATGGAGTCCTAATCCAGCTGCCCATCACAGAAAGTCTACCCTAGCACAATGGCCAGCCAGGACATCTGTGACATTGGCTCAGGGTGAAATACACCCTACAAAGCAGATGAGGAATCATTTGGCGGGGCTAGATCTTAGCCCTAACACTAGACATAACCAGCTTGAAGTTTGGGACATATCCCAAACATCCATGTTGTCTGAGCAGAAAGCAAGCGTTGCATTCCCAAAACGCCATAGAGTGTCAATAGCCAGTTCCCATAATTGTCAACTTAAGTCCCGATCCTGAGCAGGGCTGGAAAGTGTTGCAGACACTATCTTTAACAAGTTCTTACCACAAAGTATGGTTAACGTGGCACAGCTACCAGGTAAATCTCCTGTTGCCTGGATGATACACATGGAGGCAGATCACATCTTCCTAGCTCAGGGATCGGGAAGCTGTGGCACATACCTATGTACATTTATCACATGACATGTAACAAGTCGCATAGGTGTTAACAGCCTACAAACATCCTAACCATGTGTACTCAGAAGTAACTTATATTAAATTCAGTGGTGTTTACTTGTAGGTAAACGGGGTGAAGAGGGCAACATATTTCCTTGCATGACACGTTTATATTGGCCCATACAGGTCATCTATGTTGTTATTATCTGTATTTTTATAGATTTTTGATATCTACTGTTTTAATTCTATTAGTGTTTCCTTTCTATTGATATCTTTTCTATGTTTTTAGCATTTTCTATTCTGTCATTCTATTCTAGAGCCCCAGCCTGGGGAAAAGGTGGCATATAAATTAATATCATCATCATCATCATCATCATTTAGCCTTCTTGCCACCCCAGTGGTTGGTATGGCCCTGGATGGTATGCAGCTGGCATTCTAAAGCATCCAATGGACCATGTGGAGAACGCTTACACGTGTAGGCAGCCTGGGTGCTCGTTTCCTATCAGGGTAGCGAGTTCCAGCGCAAAAGCCCGCGCACGCGCTTCCTTGCAATGTGCTTCGCCTGCCTGGAGCCCAGGAGAGACGGCATCACCAGGCAGCTCCTCTCTGGCTCCGGAGTCCAGAGCGGCCTGTCCCCGCAGGCGAAAAGCTTCGCGATGAAGCATCTTTCCTCTCCCCCCTCTCCTCTCCCAGCTGGGCCGCGCGGAAGCTTCACAGCGGCTGCAGAAGCAGCGACCGCCGCCCGAGGAGGAACAGGGGGCGGCTGCGGGGCTGGGCTGGAGAGCGCGCAGCGACGCCCCCGAGAGCCCGCAGACTGGAACTGCCCGGCTCGCGTCGGCGCTTCCTCCTCGCGGCCCTCGGCTCCTCCTCGCGCCGCCTGATTGGGCCTTTCGAACTGTGCGGGCGGACGGAGGCGAGTGAATCAGCGCGCGCCGCAGCTGCGAAGGGGTCGCCGCCGCCGCCGCCGCAATCACAGCGTGCCTGGCAGACGATGTAGGGGGAGCGCGACGCGGGGGGCTGTTGCCGTGTGAGTGAGTAACCTTTTCCGTGCCCTGTCCTTCGAGGGGATTCGTGCTTTCCTTCTGGCTGCAAGCTCAGCCTTTGCCCGGGGAGTGCGCAAGCAGCCGGTGGACAGTTGCAATGGTCACATGCTGCGGGCAAGGCTGTGTGACTAGGTTGCTCTGCCTCACGCAGGCATTGAGCTTGAGGAGAGCGGCTTTCCCTTTCCCTTTCCACCTCAGACAGCGAGGGTTTAAAAAAGATTGCTTTCTCTGGCTACCTAAGGCTGTTGGGTTGTTTACATTGTATTAGGGAAACAAAACACCAGCGCTTTGGATGGGCGTTACAGTGCTACAGATGCAGCTTCTCTTCAGAAATGTAGAACGGAGAACGTGAAATATAGTTATTATGAGAGAGAGGGCAGAGCTGTCCAAAGGTTTTAGGGCCAACTCTGAGCTGGAAGACAATACTGGCATACATAAGTGTGGGACAGGCCCTCTTAATTCAGTAATGTTTGCGGCAGTCTGTCCTTTGTCCTGCCTCCTGTCCTAACAGGCCTGGAAGTATGCAGGTTTTTAAGTGGAGAATGCCAGGCCTTGTGGCAGGTTAGTTTACTAAAGACTTTTGACCAAGCGTAATTTTTTTCTTCAAGTAGCAGTACTGTGTCTAAGAAAGTTCATACAGTTGCAAGGTATGTAGCTGATGCGTAGCTTTGTATGTGTGATTGTATGCAGCGCATGCCATTCCCAAAATATTAATCTGATTTTTAGAATCACAAAACCCGATGGTGTCTTTCAAAACAAGGCTACCGGTATATCCTTGGGAGTCTTAAAGCAAACTATCTGCACAACGTGGAACAGTTCCTAAGCATACTAATACTTGAATGATGAGCCTTCCAGTGAAGCTTTAGGGATTTTTGAAAGTAGGCTCTTCAGCTGTATGGCGGCAAACATAATATTTGTCTTCCAGTGTGAATATCAGACCTTAATAGTCTCGATTAGCAGTTTTGAGTTCAGTAGAGTTAGGTTTGATTTCCAGAGTATTACCTTCCAAACAGCATGTTATTCTGTGCAGGTTTGATTTGATTAATTTCAATACCGCTTAATATATTAAAAATATCTGTAAGCAGTGTACAGAAAATGGAATCAATAATACACAATTTGAACAAAATATTTCAAAAATGCACAGTTATATATGTTACATTTATACAAAGTTACTAATATATATCAATCAATATCCATTCATTTTCCTTCTGCCGCACCCTCCCTCTCAGTCTCCAGGTTCTCACCCAGAATCAGGTCAACACAAACTCTCAGCTCACCCACAAAAGTCTCACATTGACAAGGGTTCCTGGAAATAGCAGACATCACCCTAGTCTCTCACTCTAGACTTGCTCTTCATGGACAGACCCAAGGTGGATGGTACTTCCTCAGGCTGCCCACAACTGTGTCCCATTCAGCTGCATTCTCCACACTCATTTGTGGGCAGCCCGAGGAGTACCATTCCTATCCTCAAACAGCTGGTTTGTTGAGTTTCCCAGGGGGTCCAGAGGATAGGAAAAGGACCCTCTTCAGCTCACAGCTCTATCTTCACCCATGTCCTCTCCTCTTCCTCCAGCTTACCTCCTCCTTGCAACTATGTATAAGCATGCCTACTTCCAAGTAAGATTCCAGTGGAACCAATGGAAACACATTTTGCATTCTTATCTGGGTTCTGGAGACATTCCATAAAAGCTGTGGAAAGTTAATATTCCATGGCTTGTGCATGGGCAATCTGATGTTGCAATTAAGATATCTGATGCGGTCTGGGGATTGCTACAGCATATCTGGCAACAGTATGTGTTTTAAGTGTGGTTTGCACTTCTGAAAACTTTCACACCAGCAAATGATAAGGAGGATAAAGAGCAGCACCGGGGAATTGGTTGGGGTAAATGTACAGGATTTGGACTGAGTTATGCTGGTGGTTAGGTGTATACGAGAAGGGAAAAACACTTTGCTAGCTTTGTCTGTGATGAAATACCCTAAATATCTCTTTAATCTTTAGGCATGGGTGGCTTCCACATTTGAATCTGAAGTATTGTGTAAAACTGTACAAGATAAATCATTGCAACATAATAAGCTGCTACTGCAGATTTGTCCAAAGCATTGTTTACTTACATGGGTTGTAACACAAGACTCTCAAGTTGTACTCAGTAACAGAAGTGGTTTGGGCTCTAAGTATCTAAGGCTGCAATCCTTCCTTACTCCTAGATACAGTGGAATTTACTTCTGAGTAAACATGCATAGGATTGCACTGTTAGAGACAAGCTTTTGTACCATCTCCTATTGTGGCCTTTGCAGTTATTTGAGAACAGAGGGCTTTGTGTTATATTTCATCTATGTGCTAAGTAGAACTGAGCATGTATTTCCAGAAGTTTATCAAAGCTCAGCATTTATTAGCATTAGGAAACTAGTGAGTATCTGTATTCAGACCTTCTGCTCTTGAAATGTGTTGTCTGTGGGGCTGCCTTTGGAAACTGTGGTTAATACAGAAAATGACAGCTGAATTCTAACTGGGAATAGACGTTAAGCTCATAGTACACCTGTATGATGCCAGCTGCACTGGCCCTAGTCCATTTCTGGGCACATTAAGAAGTACTGGTGGGTATTTGAAGCCCCTGGGCATGCTCTTGCCAGCAGAAGCAAGATAGGTGCCTACCACTGAGGAGACTCTTTCAGTGATGGTGCTCCAGTTGGGGTATGTTCCAAAGAGGTTTGCCTGGTGCTTACCTTCCTGTCCTCTCCTGAGTCTTTTGGATGCAGTTTCAGCCCTACTAACAGCTTCATTTTTTTTTATTTTTGTGGTGTGTGTGTGTGTTTAATTGTTTTATTCATTTGGTAAACTGCCCTGTTTCCTTCCAACTTAGCAGTTTGAAAGCACACCAGTGCAAGTAGATAAATAGGTACCGCTCCGGCGGGAAGGTAAACGGCGTTTCTGTGCGCTGCTCTGGTTTTGGTGTTCTGTTGCACCAGAAGCGGCTTAGTCATGCTGGCCACATGACCTGGAAAAACTGTCTGCAGAAGCGGACAAACGCCGGCTCCCTCGGCCTGTAAAGCAAGATGAGCGCCACAACCCCAGAGTCGTTCATGACTGGACTTAACTGTCAGAGGTCCTTTACCTTTACCATTTTAAACTTCCTGTTATATAATTTTGGGCTGGTATTAAAATGCTTACAATATTTTATTTGTTTGATTATGTATTCTCTGGAAACTTTCATAACACTCTTAAGAACAGAGGTAAAATGCCCAACTAATAGCCACTGAATTAACTCCCAGTGCCTAAACTCACTGTGAGCTACTTGCTAATTCAGAAGTGGTGTTGGAATGATAAGCTGCAGCGAATGGTGGCTTTAACTGCTAATAACTTATGGCGCTGGTGGATGAGGGACATGGATACTGAATGCTTTTGGTGAGTCAGCATTTGAAATGCATACATAATCCAAAGTGGGTCAGCTGATACCTGTCATCGGGCCAGACGTGTGGGTGAGAAGCAAGCTTCTGAGTTGCACATATCACGTCTTCAGGCAGGAATTTGAAGTAGTAGTGGCAGTATGTATGTGAGTCAGATGGGCCTCTGTAAGTGACTCAGGCCATTTACTTCCTTCCCTCAGGCCTAAATCAGTTTAATCTCCAGTTTCTTGAATTGTGGTCACTTTTGAGGAAGAGTATGACTGTTTGAATTTTTTCTTCTCTTACACAGGAAGGAGGAGATGTCTGGCCTCAGCATAGCCTGCCCACTTTCTTTAAAGAATTCCAATAGGCTTGATGCAATGGCATCATGGTTCATGCTAGGATTCTGCAGTTGTGGCTGGCGTACTGCACTTAGCTGGCCTGTGAGTGATCACTACTTTAGTTAGTCAATTTTGTTTTCTTTTTGTTTACCTCCTTATTCCACTTTTTAAGATTTTCTTCCAAATGGGTTCACATTAATTTTAAACAAAAATGAGGGGCCAAGCTTGTCCTTAAGTTTACACACTTAAAAAATAATAATAGTTGGGTATAAAGATACTCAACAAAGGTAGAGAAGTAATATCAGCTTCACAATGCCAGAAGAAAGGGATGAATTACAAACAGGCATTAACAGTGTGGACCAGGGCAGTGTGCAATTATCTTCCTCTCTTTGGTACTAGGACAAGCTGCAGTTTGAGTTGAGTGTGTTCTTTCTAATAAAAAGGGGAAGAGCAAGTGCCTTTATTTGGCCAATGGACTTGACCAAGCTGCACTTCCCTTTGCCATGATGTTCTTCCTGGGTGGAAGGCAGTCCGATCTCCCAATGGCTCTTGGTCCCCTTGCTGACGGGAGATGCCAGAATGTGCTTCCTTTCAGATCTGCAGTCCCATTTATGATGTGAAGATCCCTGTTAGTGGGTGGTGCGTGGGTGTCAAGAGAAAGCCCACAACAGCACGCTGGGAATGGAGAAGGATGATGGTTCCGTCTGGCAGTGTTTTCTTTCTTGTTCCTTATCAGAATGTTTCCTCATTTCCTTAAGCCACAATTCGTATTCATATTCAAACTGTGATTTGAGGCAACAAGGATATACAGTGGTGCCCCGCAAGACGAACGCCTCGCAAGACGGAAAACCCGCTAGACGAAAGGGTTTTCCGTTTTGGAGGCGCTTCGCAAAACGAATTTCCCTATGGGCTTGCTTCGCAAGACGAAAGCCCATAGGGAAATCTCCAGGGACCTCTTTTAAATGCTAGCGGTGGGGAGCAAAGCCTTCCCCCCCCCCGGCCTTCAGAAGAGGTCCAGGAAGGCTGGCGGGGGCCGAAGGCTTTGCTCCCCACCGCCAGCATTTTAAAAGCAGTCCGGGATAGCAGGGAAGCGCTTCCCGCTATCCCGGACGGCTTTTGAAGGCAGGAGAGGTCCGCTGAAGCCTGGGCGCGCTGATCTCAGCGCGCGCAGGCTCGGCATGCCGGCAACTCTCCGCAAGCAGCGGCAGCGCTGCCGCTGCTCGCGGAGAGGTCCGCGAGCCTGGGCGCGCTGATCTCAGCGCGCGCAGGCTTCGGCATGCCGGCAACTCTCCGCAAGCAGCGGCAGCGCTGCCGCTGCTCGCGGAGAGGTCCGCGAAGCCTGGGCGCGCTGATCTCAGCGCGCGCAGGCTTCGGCATGCCGGCAACTCTCCGCAAGCAGCGGCAGCGCTGCCGCTGCTCGCGGAGAGGTCCGCGAAGCCTGGGCGCGCTGATCTCAGCGCGCGCAGGCTTCGGCATGCCGGCAACTCTCCGCAAGCAGCGGCAGCGCTGCCGCTGCTCGCGGAGAGGTCCGCGAAGCCTGGGCGCGCTGATCTCAGCGCGCGCAGGCTTCGGCATGCCGGCAACTCACCGCAAGCAGCGGCAGCGCTGCCGCTGCTCGCGGAGAGGTCCGCGAAGCCTGGGCGCGCTGATCTCAGCGCGCGCAGGCTCGGCATGCCGGCAACTCTCCGCAAGCAGCGGCAGCGCTGCCGCTGCTCGCGGAGAGGTCCGCGAGCCTGGGCGCGCTGATCTCAGCGCGCGCAGGCTTCGGCATGCCGGCAACTCTCCGCAAGCAGCGGCAGCGCTGCCGCTGCTCGCGGAGAGGTCCGCGAAGCCTGGGCGCGCTGATCTCAGCGCGCGCAGGCTTCGGCATGCCGGCAACTCTCCGCAAGCAGCGGCAGCGCTGCCGCTGCTCGCGGAGAGGTCCGCGAAGCCTGGGCGCGCTGATCTCAGCGCGCGCAGGCTCGGCATGCCGGCAACTCTCCGCAAGCAGCGGCAGTGCTGCCGCTGCTTGCGGAGAGGTCCGCGAAGCCGTGGCTGGACAGCTTTTGAAGGCAGGTGGGGGGGACAAAGACTTTCGCCCCCGCCAGCCTTCAGAAGAGGTCCAGGACCTCTTCTGAAGGCTGGCGGGGGCAAAGTCTTTGTCCCCCTGCCTGCCTTCCCAGGGGCTTTAAATTGCCCCGGACAGCGGAGAAGTCCTCCGCTGTCCCGGGGCAATTTTAAAATGCCGCCCGCCAGCATTTTAAGATCGCCCGGACAGCGGAGAAGCCCTCCGCTGTCCCGGGGTTTTTTAAAATGCTGGGGTGGGTGGGAAGAAAGCCCTTGTCCCCCCCCCCCAGCCTTCAGAAGAGGTCGGGGGACAGACTGTCCCCGGACCTGGTCTGAAGTCGGTTTCCCTAGGAACGCATTAATTGATTTTCAATGCATTCCTATGGGAAACCGTGCATCGCAAGACGAAAAACTCGCAAGAAGAAAAAACTTGCGGAACGAATTAATTTCGTCTTGCGAGGCACCACTGTATATATGAAGAAGGGAGGAGGACAGAAGGGCGGAAGGTAGCCTGCAAGCTCATTGCTTGCTCCCAATCCGCTAAACCATGGTTTGGAGGATCAGGAATATGATGTCTGAATAGAAGCTCTGATTATATCTCCAGAGTGCCTGAGCAACAGGAATCCTGCTTCTAGTTGACAACATATGGCCAATTCAGTGATGACATTTTAATAGACTTCTATGACAGACGTGGTGTTACCCAGTGAACTGTTGTGAAAGAGCTCGACATTTTCTTTGAAATGCCCATGCCCCCCCTACAAAGATTAGTTTTGTGAGGCATTCCTGAAAAATGAAGATTCTGGACATTCTTCCAATGTTCATTTGTGAATATTTCAATTTATTCAGGCGCTGAGCGTGCCCTCCACATTAGGCTGTCTTTTGTTCTTACTCTGGCGATTGGCATGTTAAGGCCCTTGTCTGATTGTATGGGGCTCCTTATTTTAATGAGGGCAAGCCTCTTTGCTTGCTGCTCCTGCCATATTTTCCCCTTTCTAAAAAGTCAATGAACTCTCTCAGGCTTGTAGTTAGGACAAAGGGCTTTTTATGCTGAATGAAATTTATTCCCTGTGACCAGCTTGTGGGAAGCATAATACATTCATTAGTAATGTTCTGCTTTTTTATATTCTGCCCTCTTTCGTATGGTGCAGAGAAGAGAAATATCAACAGGAAAGGGGCATGTGCTATTAACATCCAAGAGAGAAGTAGTGGAACTTCTGCACTGACAGATATGATTAGTTCAGGATATAGCTGTGCTCTCAAGCTGACTATGGCTCCAAACCCAAATCAACCTAGTCCTAAATCTGGAGTATAAGCAAGGTTGGTATTGCAAAGAATTAAAATAAGAGGTGATACTACTCATCAATAGTATATGGATTTTTGTTTTAATGAATTTGCTAGCAAGGGTTTTTAGTGTATATGTGTTTTTAGCACTATTTTATCTTTTTATTTTCGTATTCTTAATGTACATTGCCCCGGGCTCTTCTGAGGAAGGAGAAATAAATAAAATGACATGATGATTCTGCAGCTTGATGTGAAGGAAAATTTAGAATAGAAACATGTTTGTGTTTTAAACATTATAATCCAATTGGCAATCCTAAGAACTATGGTTTGCCCCCCAGTGCAAGAGTTTTATGCAAGCTGAATAATCATGTAATTTCAGTCGTGTTGCCTTAAACTCTATTTCAAGAGCAAAGTTCTGTCAACTTCCTGTAAGAGACTTACTGGCTTGGTTTGGACAATCTTTCCTGAGCCATTATTTAGAAAGATCATCCAAACTGGACCGGGCCATTGAAAACATTTCTGCATTGCTTGAATGTGTGCTCGAGCCTTCCCCAATCTGGTAGCCTTCGGATGTTCTTGGGTTATAATTCCCTTCATCTCTTACCATTAGCAATGCTTGTTGGGGCTGATGGGAGTTTGAATCCAAAATGCCTGGAGAGTGCCAGGTTCAGCAAAGCTGATGTACACCCTTGCTGCTAAACTGATTTTATTTTTTCCTCTGTTGCAATTTTCTGTTACTGTAATTTGTTTTTTTTATGACTGTACTTTAATATAATTTCTTATTCATTTATTTCTGCCTAGCGATTGCATGTAATTGGATGGCTTATATAAATATAATTAATGTTTCTGAGTCTTTTTATTAGTTTTCCTTGTTTGTAGTTATTGCCATTTTTGCAATCGGCTTTTGAAACTTTTGCAGTCATGTAGGAGGAGAGAATTGCTCCAAACCAGTTTCCTATTCCCTCTTTTGCACTCTGTCTCACAATGTTTTGGAGGATCCCTGACCTCCCAGAGAGGCTGTGAGGGATTGCAATTGGCTGCAGGGAGAGAATGGATGATAAACTTTTACTGTCCATGAAGGATTTTCAGGTTAACTTATCTTAGGATCTATGTATGTATCATATGAGACTCATAACATCTTTTCTCATAGCCGTTCATAGCACTACATTTGTAGGTGCTAGGTGTGACTCCAATATAAAATAGCCTATGAGTTTCAATTTAACGTGTTTCCTCTTTCCATTCCTAGGAAAGTACAATCGCCATGCAGCATGCAGTTCAGGTAGGCACAGTGAATTACTGACGTCTTTATTATCATTTCCCTACCTTAACCAAGTAAAAAAATATGCCTCTGAAGAAAGACCTGTGACGATTTACAGCCGAATCCTGTGCATGCCTACTCAGGAGTAGGTCCTATTGAGCTCAGTGCTCCTGGAAACTGGGAATAGAATTGCCACCCAAATGTGCCAAATTTATGTGTTGCAATAACTCGCTGTTTATTTTACTCGCTGTTCTTTTAAAATGAAAATTCAAAGTTTGGAATCCAGGCTGCATGCCTGTCTTGGACCATACATAAAACCAGCATCTCTGATGTTCAATAAGGCTGTTCTAAAACAAACATGAAGCGTTTGGGTAATAGATTAGATAATGTCATTACTGACTTAATACTACTTTTGTACCTTTTTTTTTGGAAAGGGCTTAATAATGTTTAGCAATAATGTTCAACCGTTACAACTCACAACCTGTATTGCAGGTTGCAGCCTACCGTGTATTTCAAAGTGTAGCCAAGTTGTCTTGTTTAGCTGTTGATGTCTCCCCTTAGGTGTGGTTTGGAGAGGATCCCCCTCTAAGTCCACGAAGTCCGCTGACTCCAAGGCATGGCCCAGGCTTGGCAGATGTTTTGCTCTACGACCAGTGGATATCTGTCCGACATGAGGCAACTCTGGTTCCTATGCAGGAGGACCTCTCCATCTGGCTATCTGGCTTGTTGGGTACAGTACTAGGAATATTTGTCTGTTTGGAAGAGCATTGCCCTAATTATTGTTGTCCTTGAGCCCCATTCAGGGATCTGTCTCCTACATTTATTTATTTATTCATTCAGGAATATGTATACAGTGGACACTTGGGTTGTGAATGTGATCCATGCGGGAGGCACGTTTGCAACCTACGGCATTTGCAACCCACAGTGCCGCGTCTGTGCATGCACGGTTGCGATTCGGCGCTTATGCGCAAAGCGCAATTTAACACTTCTGCGCATGCGTGACTGTCGAAACCCGGAAGTTACCCGTTCTGGTACTTCCTGGTTTTGGTGAGCCCCTAACCTGAAAAAATGCAAGCTGAAGCGTCTGTAACCCGAGGTATGACTGTAAACTGCTTAATCAAAGTGCTCCTTATTCTGGCTAAGAACTATAAGAGCTGTATTTAATAAAATTGCAGATAAAAACATAGCTAAAATGGTCAAAACTCTCTCTCTCTCTGTGTATAAAGATATGTAAAATAATCAGCATTAAAACACTGTTAAAATAAAACTAATAAAGTAACTAAATTTTAAAACTAATAGAGGTAACTAAATGCCTGGGTTGGCTTGCTGAAATAAAATACGTTTTTAACAAAAGTCTAAAACTAAATACAGTCGTACCTTGGAGCCCAAACGCCTTGCAAGTCAAACGTTTTGGCTTCTGAATGCCAAAGCGAGTGTTCCGGTTTGCGAACGTTCTTTGGGACCTGAACGTCTGACATGGCTTCCAATCGGCTGCAGGAGCTTCCTGCATCCAATTGGCAGCCACGCCTTGGTTTACGAACATTTTGGAAGTCAAATGGACTTCCAGAACGGATTCCTTTTGACTTCTGAAGTACCACTGTATATTGAGGGTGCCATCCTAATGTAAATAGGCAGGAGTTTCAGAGCACAGTCGCTGCCACAGTGAAAGATGGACTCTGAGTAAATGAGGGTTGAAGAAGAGAGTGAAGGTGTGCTAGCCCCCTCTCCTGAGTCCCATCCCACTTTCCACATGCTGGAAGGCAAGCATCTGAAGTGCAGATCCTGCTGCATGCTTGGAGCCTCTCTGCAAAACCCCTGCTGCACATGATTGCCTTCCAATGCCTGGCAGGCAGTGGGGACGCAATGAAGGCAGCAATCTTAGTAAGCACATTCCTGCTCTCTTCTCATGTGATTTGAATTGTGTGAGGAGAAGAATGTCTGCTTTGGGCTAAAGTTTAGCACAAAAAAAGTCAGAACCATTACCGTACCCAAGGAATTGCAGCCACCTCTTCCTGTTCAAGGTACTTTCCCCCCCGGGTCTCTTTTTCTCTTTCATTTGCTAAGAGCATATAATAATGCCTTGCCACAATCTTTTTAAATGTTCGCATGTTTCAAAAAGCACGGACTAGTTGAACCAGTCGGTGAATTACCATTATGCAACCTGTAGCCCATAATATAGGCTGCAATTCAAATGATTGCTTTAAAATGCAGGAACACAATCATATGCAATAAAATGAAGAATATGAATGAAGTCTACGATGTTGTGATTTCTAATGTGTTGAGTATGAGGTAATTTATCACTCAGTGTAGGATGCCACATGGTTCTTCTGCAACCTTCCACAGCTCCTTCTGTTGTTGTGCTGGCTCTGCCACATATAACATCTTCCTGGTTAGCTGTGTGCATCCGACTTCCTCAACTCGGTGTCTTCCATATGTTTTGGACTACAACTCCCATCGTCCGCAGCTGCTGGGCAAGGCTGGCATGAAGTGTTTGAAGTGGGTTTGAAGGTTCAGCTGAAATTGGTCAAAATACACACAGAGAAAGGATCATTTGGAGGTTATTTTCCTGTGAAAATGGGCTGCGTTTATGTCTATGCATGTCTGAGTTGTCCGTTCAAGTTTATTATTCACTACTCTAATGAAAAAGTGGCTCTTTTACAGGGGTAGAACTTACAGCCGACCAATTGTTGGAAGATCTTGATAACGGTGTGTTGCTATGCTTGTTGGTTGGAGTCATTCAAAGCACAGTAAAGGAAATTTGTGACCCAAATAGTTTAAGGGTAAGTACAGCATTCATCACAGCTTATAAAAACATGGAAGTGAGATTTTCTACAAACTAATTTCACTGGGATTATTTCTGCTCAGGTTCACATGAAGGATGTAGCATGCAAACTGAACATTTACCTTGTTAAGATGTAGCTGTGGTAGCACCAGAAGGTGCTTTTGCATCAGCCATGATAGCATGTTGTAGCCAGATGTGCTTGTGCTCCTGGTTCAGATGTTGCTTTTTCCACATGAATGCGGGCAAGTGCAAGCCCAAGAATGTTGTCATGTATGGAACTTTGGTAACATTGTTGCATCTTCAGATCCAAAGCTTAAGGCTATTATACTTCTGATGAGATCTCATTTTTAAGTAATGCATTCGGGACATCGGCCCCTGGAGTCCATCTTTTATGCTCCGCCCAGGAGAATCAGCATCATGTTGTTGACTTGGCAGCATGTCATGGCAAACATGTATGTCATAGCTCCTTACAGAAAATGACACTGGAGACAAGACAAGGGTATTGCAGGAGCCCTTGTCCATTGTGGAGTGGGGGGAAAGGAGGGGGCTGTTTATGAAGCACAGGATACACAGAGACAGTTTGAATCGCTTCCCACCTTGGGCTCCTTTCAGGAGGAAGGGTGGTATATAAATCTGACAAATAAGTAAACAAATATTGACACATTTCAGGTGCACCTCCTTTCCTCTTGAGCAGTACAGGTGCAATGGGCTGTTGAAAGGTGCAGATGCAGGAGCGTAGGAAGACAGGTGGTGGTTTAGTTATGGGATGTGTGGCATAAAAGCTGTAGGGTGAAGTATAGTGGCAAGAAGCTCTGGAAACAAAAGTGCTACAGGTGATACATGCCAAAATGCATGTAAGCCTTCTGCAACTGGAGAGGCAGGCGGTTCCTCATAAGTATGTGGGATGAGAAGGGATTGGTGTGAGATGAGGGCAGTACTGAGCAGCCCAGGGCAGTGCTGGAAGGTGGCCACACCAGTGGGGCACCAGATTATAGGGGGTGGAAATGATCAGCCCCCAATTTGGTTATTGGTTTGATTATTTATGATGCTTCGGAACAGATAAAGGGTGAGACTTCATTCGATTTTTATTCTGCTGTGAAAGGGAAAAGATAATTTGGAATATTAAAAAAAACAACCCACAACCTTTCTGATCATAGTGCTCTGAAATAGTTTATGCATTGGAATTCATTAGAAATATTAGTGAATCATATGTTAAGTCTTCTGACAACCTTCTTCTGCATTTAGGTTACTGGAGCATTATTTTGTATACCCTTGGGGCTTTGTCCTGATTTCTTTTCATGTGATACTCCATTCTTCTGCATTTTGCTGATAAGATATTTTTAAACCATCTTTCAGATCCTATTTTCAGCAGAGCAAGTAGCAAGTCAGTTAGGTATGGGTGGGCTCCCCTTTTTTGAGGAAAGTGTTTCTGACAACTAAAGGCTAACCTCCACAAACCTTGATACATGGTCTATTTAATCCTGTTTCAGCCAAGTCCTCAACAGTGCCAGTCAAAACCATTTCCATCACTGGTAATACATACCCAACAAGATTAGTTTCCATTGCAGTTCTCTTCCTTGGAAAGCAATCTAAAAGTGCCTTCCATGTGCTCACAAAACCTCTCTTCCTGTGACCACCACCCAGATGTAATACATTGTGTTGGATCCAGGTTACTTTAGTTGTGCTTTCATTTCATTGAAATCAACAGAGCTTCTATCCAGTAGCACAGATTTCAATTACACTAAAAGAGTGACTAAGAGAGCAATCCTATATACCAGAAGCTGGTGTAGTGCAAGATTTTGTTCTTCCCCTATAATATCCTCTTTTTTTGGGTTTACAGCAGCTTAAGAACGACCAGACTTGGTTCAGCTAGCTGAGGGATAAGCAGGTGTGTCTGCAGCTGAATTGAGGTTGAGGGGGTTAAGCTGGTTTAGCTGGCTGTGTCAGGAACCTCTCAGCAAAGCCAGAGATCTGCTGGATCCTAACCCTGCTCATCTCTGTGAATCTTCCTATAGCCTTGCTGCCAAAATTAATCTGGATCTAACCTGCTATGCATATAGATGTAAGGACTTTGCGATGGTATAAAAATGAATTTTTCCCAAGCCTTCTGATGGTTATAGATAAACCGTTTTACACAACCATTTTCCTCTTTCCAGGATTTCCCTTTGAGAAAAGTCCCCTGTAAGAAAGATGCACCTTCGGGATCCTTTTTTGCTAGAGATAACACTGCCAACTTTCTCAAATGGTGTCGCTGCATTGGCGTGGATGAGACTTACCTCTTCGAATCTGAAGGCTTAGGTAAATATCGCCTAATGAGGTCAGTCCCATGAAATGACATGGCCATTAATTTCTCAGGCAGGTTGTTGCTGTGGCTTCTAGTTAAAAGGGGTAGAACTGTTCATAAGAACTGGTTCCTATGAGTGTGTTCCAGAGTTCCTTGATTATGAAACAGGTGGTGCACATTTCTCTGTAAAATACAGAGTTAAGGTATAACCAATGCATGCTTCAATACAGAGCAAAATACAGAGCCAGGGTACCAAATATATCATGGAGAGAAAGAGGAGGACTTTCTTGCTTGTTGCTTTTGGGGATAATGGGGGGACCCTAGAATAGCTTTCAAGCCAGCTGCAGAACAAAAATATATTAATTGTTTTAAAACTAAGCTGTACAGATTTACTGAGGGTGTTGTATCATGCTCCTCAATGGAACCAGGACTCACTTGCTCAGGAAGTTGGGATTTCCTTCTCCCTCTGCTCCATATACTGACTTATCCGGGGGACTTCCATATGGTTCTTTGCCTTATTAATGCTCTGATATGCATTGATTGTGGTTCACCATACTCTGTAACACTTTCAGATTCTGGGTGGAGTCAGCAAGCAGTGAGTTGCGATGTTGAGGTCTTTTGCCACATTCACCATGACAGCAACTATGGCAGCTCTTCTTATAAACTACTACGTGTGACTCTGCTGTCACTGGTGACATTGGATGGTGCTAAGAAACATTTTTTGGGTGTGTGTGGAAATCTGGGTGTGCTTTGTTTGCATTTTGGGGTGTTTTGAAAGATAACTATACTTGGAAATGGGAAGTTAGCTTTTTCTAAGTCAATAAAGCTCAATGGTTGGTTGGTTGGTTGGTAGGTTGGTTTTCTCTTTCAGTTTGCTTTTTTTTGTTTTTACCTTGGAATCCTGCACTGGGGCTTGACCACTCAAACCTACCCACCCCACATCAACATCAACATGCAAAGTACCAGCAGAGCATGCATGAGATTTGGGGGCTCTCTTGAACTCCAATCCCATCTAGAAAGAGAAAAGGTGATATAGAAGGGTGGTGTTCTAACAACAGTGGTAGGAGAGGTCCCCAGAGGGGCTGTCATTGCCCTATAAAAACTCCACAGAATGGCTATAGAAGGTGTTACAAAGTGACAGGGACATGAGGTAGTAAGAATGGACACAAGTGGTCAAGATGTCCAAGGCTTCCATAACCACCCGCCCCCGGCTATTAGTGGTGAGCAAAGACCTTCTCTGAAAAGACAGGGATTCCCGCTGTCAAACTCCAGCATTTCTTAATGCCTTGGGAAGTCTTGCAGAATTCAGACCCAGGCCTTTGATGCGAAGGGACTTGCAGAGAAAGGGGCAGCCGAAACAGGAGTTAACAGTACCTGTTTGTCCAAGGAAAATCTTCCTCTTGATTCAGGTCACACTTTCCCATAGCCACTCTGGCTCCTGGGTCACATGCATCAGCTCTCTGGGTGTGCATAAGTAAGTATGATCATAAATATGAGTGATCTTCACCCAGGATTTAGGAACCTGTGGTCATACTGCTGTTATTGGAGTTCAACGCCCATTAGCCCAAGCTAGCATGGCCAGTGAGTTGTAGTTAAAGAACAGGTGGAGAGCTACAGGTTCCCCATCCCTAATCTATGCTTTCCCTCCTGGTAACAAATTTTATTCTTGGTAATGGAGATTGGTAGTTAAGGGGGATGCTGCAGGTAGTACAGGGTGATATAATTTCATGTTTAGGAGCTTTCTATGTTCCTGATTCTAACATCTGGGGAAAAAGAAGGTAGCATGTTGCCATGCCAGGATTTTTTACTTGTTCTCTTTCCATGCATAGTGTACCTATTTTACTGATGGATCTGTGATTAGTGCAGATGTGATTTTTCAGGAATTGGATGCAAATAACTGGATGCAGTTGAATTCCTCTCTCAAAGGCAGATATGCCCTAAATGCCAGCTAGGAGCCTGTCTCTGTTTGAGTTTTCTTTATAAAGTGCTTCAAGGACATGACTGCTAAAATTAGTCAGCCAGTTTAAGGACTCTGCAGCGTCATCAATTTGTGAGTAATTGACATTTTGCATCAGAAGCAAGAGCTTTGGATTTTACCGCCCTACACTACTCATTCTAACTGGATGGATATGAAAATGTAAACTTTCAGGCAAGTTCAGGATTGCCACCTTCAAAACACTTCCAACTTAAAATCAGATCTTGCGCTGGTTTTGTACCTGGAGGATGACACTATCTGCCTCTAGTTTCAGACCGGACTTTGTAACCAGCAGCTGCCAGACCAGGTTTAACCTGATGGAGCAAAATCTCTGACTGCTCATAAAGAAGAGTAGCTCAAAACAGAATTGGTTAATTAAGGTTTTGGTATTGTTCTTTTAAAATAGATGCACACCCGCCTAAGTCCCAGCCCTGCAGAAGAAGTGCTACTTAAGTTGTTGTGAAATTGCTTGTGCTTGTTGAAACACAACCTTTAAATATGTTTGCTGCATACATTTAGAAACCAAACATCACCACCACCTAGGACTGACTGGTTGTGATATGCTTAGTAATTAATTTTAGTTTATAAATGCTGATTTTGCATTTCGGGCAACTTAATTTACAATGGCAAGTGTTCTGTTTTTTGAATCCCACCAACTTTAGGTGAAGCATACTTCTAGGAAACTATATATCTTTGTTCCAGGTGTAGCCAAAGTGGAGCCCTCCAGATACTATTAGACCAAGTGCCCATCATCCCTGACCATTGGTCTGGGCCTGATGGAAGTTTGGGGGCACCACAGTGATTACCCCTACTTTCAGAGTCACCATTTAATTCCCCCCCTCCTCTGTCAAGCATCTCTCAGTAGCAAAATCAGAGATCATAATGGGTAAGATGACTTCATAAATAATGAAATAATATGTCTAATAAAGAATAATTTCATTTTCATCTAGGTAGAATGGAGTTGGCAACATTTATAATTGGAATCAGTCACACCATATTGCATCGTGTATGTAGCTAAGAGTATTGGGGAGGCTGCTGACTAGTTAACACAGTAGCTGGCTTCGCAGCATAAATGCATGCTTTGTATGCTCTTGGCAAAGAGCCTCCTTGGAGGGGCGAAATTCCTCTTAGCCTGCTGTGCCTTTTTGCATTCAAGCATATTTGGAAATAAGGAGTGGCTGTTTTGTTTGGACACTGGATTCCCTTGCACAAGCATACAGCTCTGTCTTGCCACCCAATTTCTTTTGCATTTGAACAATGCAGGAACCTTAATAATTTTTATACTGCCACTCCATCCAAGGATCACAACATGATGATAATGATATTAAATTTGTATACCGCCCTTCATCTGAAGATCCCAGGACGGTTCACAACAGGAAAATACAAAATGAGAAGAGAGTCTGTATCTTATATAGAACCCTTGGAAACTTGAATTGTGGTGTCTGTTTTTTGTTGATGTCTGTTTTTTTCTTCACACATCTGTATCTGGCATCTTTCCAAATCTCTTGACAAGTTCTTATAGTTTGAATTTTGGGCGGGGGGGGAGGATTTTCATTGAAAAGTAAGTCCAGAAATGTGATTGCTAAGCAAAGTGTTATATTGGCACAGCTGTTGTTGATGCCCTGGAGAACAAAGCTTATAGGAGTAATAATTTAGAATTTGGATATTAGATTAATCATCAGCATCATCTCCTTCCGCATCCATGTCTCAAGGTGATGCACAAAATACAATAAAGGTAAAGGGTAAAGGGACCCCTGACCATTAGGTCCAGTCATGGATGACTGGGGTTGCGGCGCTCATTTCGCTTTATTGACCGAGGGAGCTAGCATACAGCTTCCGGGTCATGTGGCCAGCATGACTAAGCCACTTCTGGTGAACCAGAGCAGCGCACGGAAACGCCGTTTACCTTCCCGCCAGAGCGGTACCTATTTATCTACTTGCACTTTAGATGTGCTTTCGAACTGCTAGGTGGGCAGGAGCAGGGACCGAACAACGGGAGCTCAGCCTGTCATGGGGATTCGAACCACAAACCTTCCGATTGGCAAGCCCTAGGCTCTGTGGTTTAGACCACAGCGCCACCCGCGTCCTACAAAATACAATAGAAACAGCTAAAAACACAGAAGATAACAGCAAGTTAGTTTTAAAACAATACCAAATAGATGCCCACGGCAGAGACCTATTCATCCAGCTGAGAAAGCCTATTGAAACAAAAATATATTCAATTGTTTCTGGAAAGTGCAAATGGTGGGTGCCTTTCATATTATAACTTGTCTTCTGGTGCACGAAACAGAAGTCGTGCTCTGAGTTACTTATTCTTCTTTTGTCTTGCATGCAAATTATTTCTAGTCTGCAGTTGATTTTTTACCCTTAAATAAAAATTAACTTACCATGAAATAAGGCAAAACATTAAGTTTTCAAAATTCTCTTCACAGTTCTTCATAAGGATCCCAGACAAGTGTACCTTTGTCTACTGGAAATCGGACGCATCGTATCAAGGTGTGTATTCATTGGAGTTTTCTAGATAGAGTATGTAATGTAGAGCAAACCTTGAGAAACCTTAAATGAAGGGTAGCCAATGTGGTGCTTTCCAGATGTTGTTGAACTACAACTCCCATAAGCCCCAGCCAGTGTGGCCACTTGTTATGGATGATAGGAATTGTAGGCCAGCTACAACTATGTTGGTTACCCTTCATTTAAATGGTTTCTCAAGGTTTTCTTCAGAGATCCAGCCTCTTTATGCCTCCTTGACACCCAGGGAAAGAAAGCCTGCCAAATTTTAATTCAGTATGAGTAGTTCAGCAAGTCATGGCTAGAAGGGGCAGTGTTCTCTCATTGGATTGGGCAGCATAAATCAAAATGGCAGAATTAGATTCTGTAGGCAGTGGAAGGTTTTTTGGTTTGGAAATCAAAGATGGCATTGTTGTCAAGTCCCAGTAAGGGGGCACACCATCAGGGATAACACTGACATCCCAGTTTGATTCTTCAGTCCCACTCTCCCAGCTTCCAGTTCTCCTGCTTTCAAGCTCTGATGTGTTCATGTGGAACAGGCATAGGCAAACTTGGCCCTCCAGATGTTTTGAGACTACAGTTCCCATCATCCCTGACCACTGGTCCAGTTAGCTAGGGATGATGGGAGTTGTAGTCCCAAAATATCTGGAGGCCCAAGTTTGCCTATGCCTGATGTAGAAAATTGTTTCCAGGCAAATACATGTTCTGAGAGTCTGGCTCTGCAGCTTATATGATTGAACCTTTGGAGAGCACTTCCTACATTTCTCAGGAAGTCAAACCTATATTTTAGATATTTCACAGCCTGCTGTATATGCACTTAGACATGCTAGAGACATGTAATAGCTATACACTATTTTTCATTTCCTTGTTTCAGAATTTTATTTAACCTAAATGCAGTGCCTTTTCCTCCCACCCCTCCTTTCCTTTTTCTAGATATGGAGTTGAACCGCCTGTATTAGTAAAACTGGAGAAGGAAATTGAATTGGAAGAGACCTTATTAATGTCCTCTGATCCTGTTGCTCCTGCTGTCACTCCCAAGTCGTGTTGTCAACATGGAGAACTACACGAAGCAGTAAGTATTGCTTGCATTTTGTCCAATGAAGTTTTAGCTTGCTTCGGTGAATTACCTTGTATTGTGTGCTCCTCTGAATGTGCCTTTAAAAGGAGCTCCATTTGAAAATGAGCTTCATCTGTGTAATCTCATCGAGTTGTATCCAATTTAAGTCGTACTCAGTAGAGTCATAAAAATTTACTTGATGTCCCCCAGCTAGTATGATTTAAGCAGCCTAACTGCACAGGATTGCCATCTGATAAGTGCATTCCTGTGATTCTTTACTGAGAAGTAAGTCCCACATAGCTTCAGTGGACCTCTTTTCCAGGTAAGACTGGCTGCAATCTTTGTAATAAACATCCAACTAAGTAGGAAAGGAAATTTGATCACAATGCAGGAAGAAGAAAATGCATCTGTTGCAACAACTAAAAGCGCTCTTTATTTCCTCTGAAATTGTGTGAGCTTATTATCAGCTTGGCAGTTTTGAGGAAGAAGGGTGAGATCTTCATATTGGCTTTCAGTGATGTCATTCTTGTAGCAAAACAGGAAGTTCGCATTCATCATTATTTTTTAAAGATAACAGGGAGAAATTAACAAGAAATATTTGTACAAAATAGGTTAAGCACATTGCTGAAGATCCTCCTTGCAGCTGCTCCCACAGGTTTTCAATTGAGTACCTGTCTGAAGGACGCTACAGGTTGGGAGACAAAATACTCTTCATACGTGTAAGTTCAATTTCTCAAAATGGTTTCCGACCTCTTGCTTTGGAATAGGCTGTCCCATCTGGGCCGGGCATAGCCCACATCCCCACAGATAGTAATTCAGTCTCATGAATGGAGACATCACGCTGGTGAAGTTACTTTCGCAATTTCCTTGCCTGTTTAGAAGACTGTCCCTAGCACTCTGCAAGCATTCAGCCTCAACACACAAGAGCAGATTTTTTTTGTAGGACCCAGAGACTCATGCATCAGCCCTCTCCCCAGTGCCCAGTGAGGAAGGTCTAAGTGTATTTGACTGGTAATGCAGGGCTCCTGATTGTGAGGAATCTTGTAAGCCCGTTCAGTGCCCTTCAGACATTCATACCAAGCATATGAAGGTTGGTAGCAGAGGGAAAAGGTCTAGCATGCTCAAGGGTCTTGGGGGCAGAGGCTGGGGCATGCACTCCTGGCCCCCTTAGCACCTTTCCTAGAATCATAGACTTGGCACTCCAAGAGTCATTAGTCAAACCCCTGCAATGCAGGAACCATAGCTACATAATCTCTGGGAGATGGCCATTCAATCTCAGTTTAAAAACTTCTAATGAAGCAGAGTCTACCACCTTCCAAGGTGTAGTCCATTTCACCGCCAAGCGTCTTTTGCCATCAAAAAGTTATTCCACAGACTTTGTTGGAATCTCTTTTCTAGTAAATTGAATCCATTGGTTTGGGTTCTACACTCTGGAGCAGCAGAAAACAAGCTTGCTCCATCTTCCATGCAGTATTTTTCATATTCAACCTAAATGCCTGGCTGAGTGATGCTAGGGACTGCTTGATCAATAAGTCCCTCTGCTTTCTGCTGTGGTTGTTGGCAGCCTGCATTCCTCTGCCCTCTTGGTCTGCACTTGTTTAATGTTTTTAGGATTTGTGGAGTGGTCTTCAGGGACAGCTGGAGATCGTTCTGTAATATATGAGGAAAGCTGGTAAATGGGAAACTATGATAGAGTCCCAGAGGGTGGATTAAGGCCCCTCAGAGATGCTTCTAAGCCTAATATACTGCAGTACAAAAGGGCAGATATCCTATTCTCTACTCTTTCTCCCTTCTTCTGCTAGATGTTACACGGCAAGCATGTGATGGTACGTGTTGGTGGAGGTTGGGATACGCTTCAAGGATTCCTACTCAAGTACGACCCTTGCCGGGTGCTGCAGTTTGCAACGTTGGAACAGAAAATCTTGGCGTTTCAAAAAGGTGCTTCCAATGAGACTGTTCCCGATTCATCTGCTAGAGCGCCACAGCCTCCACTCATGAATCCCATATCTGCAGTGGATACGTATCAGAAACAAAATTCAAAGCCCTGTACTCCTGTTTCAGATCCAAAAACTCCACATGTAACTAACAGAAAACAGGCAGTAGCCAAGTTTCCACAATCAGGTGGTCTTTCTTCCCCCAAAGTAACAACGTGTACGTCTCCTACAAGCCAGCTTGGACCAGGGCACACCAAGTCAAAAGGCTTAGTAGTGAATAACAATATGGCATCTTCCAAATCTTCAGCAGCTGCATCAAAAAAATCAGCACCTCCTTCTCATAAATCAACTTCGGTTTCAAAAGTTCAGCAACCTGTAAATAAAGGTTCCTCCTCCTCTTCCTTGTTGAGAACTGCTGTAACTTCCAATTCGCTTCAGAAGCGTGTCTTGTCGCCAGCCAAACTTGCACATTCCCAGAATTCTCCAGCTGTTTCAGATCCTGCCCTTTTTTGTTCAGCGAGTAAGCTTTCTGAGCTACCTGGAACAAAAGCTAAAAGAGTGGCTGTAGAACAAGATTTCGATTCTCCTACTAGCAGAGCTCGGCTTGATGCTGCAGCCAAAGCTAAGCCTCTTTCAAAAACCTTAGCAAGACCTACAAGGCCAGCTGACAGAAATCCGCATGTCCCAAAGCCAACATTGTCTCAACAGCCTTCTGCAAAACCAGTTCCCAAAATCACCACCCAAACATTACCCGCACAATCCCAGTCACCCAGAGGCATGCCAGAAATTAGCCAAGCCAAAAACATCAAACCTGCTGTTAGCCCTGCTTTGGTTACAGATGGTAAATCAACACAGCTGATGTCTTCATTGGGACAGAGGGGTAAAAATGCAGCCTCATCTGTTAACAACCAGACATCTGTCAAAAATGTTCAGGTCCAAAATAGCACGGCAAGAACTCCGGTAGGATCCAGTGTGTCAAAACATCCTGAGCGTACCCCACTGTCTGTGGTGCGCCTTCCCCAAAAATCAACCAAAGTCGAAACCAGAAAAAAGGCTATGCAAAGTGCTAACAGAGGTCAATCAGCAGTTAAATCTTCTCAGAATGAGAAAAACCTTCATCCATCCACTAAGAATCCTCTTTCAAAAGTTAAGACTACGGCTGTAACTACTAAGGGGACACCTGGAAGCTTAAAGGACCCAACACTGAAGACTAAGCAAGATGATAATTATTTTGTTATGAGTGGAAATAAGAAACTCAAAAAGTTAAAATAACTAAGGATATTAACTATTGATGTTGCCTGCTCTTCCGGTAGCTACTTCATTCAAGTGTAAAAGGTTTAAATAACAATATGGTAATCAAGATATTAACTCCCTTGTCTATAAATGATGGTGTTTGATAAGCTCTGCTAATCAGCTAAGAGTGTTCACTAGAACTTATACCAGGCTTCTCTAATACAGTAGTACATTGATCTCTATAGGGCATCTTATTTTAGTCTGTATTCTATGCATCTTTAGTACAATTCTGGCATTCATGTTTGATGTGACAAAGTGTTCGTTTCTCATGACAGATATTTCTGAATGGATCCCATGTGCCACCTAGTATTTTTCTTACCAGGGAAAACCAATAAAGAGCAGGATCCTTTAAAAGAGCCTGTATTAGTGGGCACCGGAAGGTACATTTATCAGGAATGTGTAGAATCTCCTGATGACATTAGCCCTTTTAGGAGACGCTCTTGTGCATTGATTCAGAACTTCGTCTGAAGATGCTTTTTGTCAAAAGTGGAATTGGGAAATTGAGCCTTGTATCTAAACACTAATTTCAGTAAGAATAAGATGTGAGTAAGTTTTTTAAAAAAACAACAACAACAGCAAGGTAGAAGTAGCCAACATGTGAGTAGCTTTATATTGGGGAGAGATCAGAGTTGTTGTTAGTAGTAGTTTGGCTTATCTTGAATGCTGAACAGAAATGGTTAGTTAGCTTTAGGGCATATCCCGTGCTACAGCTCTGTTCTGCGATGGACTTCCATACGCACAACAGACCTTCCTCCTTCGCTCCCATCCCCTCCAGCTCCCCACTCAAAATCTACTCTGGCGAGTTGGGAGAGTGTCCAGAGCAGAGGGTTTTTTTGGGGAGGGGGGTGGGGATGGCAGGAACAGAAGAAACAGAAGTTCTGCTGGGGCAGTGGAACTACACATGTGAAGCACTGGATACAACCCTTCATTTTTAAGGGGTATTTATTCTAATTTAAAAGCTCTTATGTAAGTCCCATTTAAGCGTTCAATACAACTAGCTCCCTAAGAACACTAAAAATTTCTGCCTTAAAACATAACTTCAGTGCCTTAGCACACGATGTGCTCTGTTGTATCACAAGATATTTTAAATATCTGGGTTCAAACGTGTGCCCTAGTTTATTCATGTGGGCTGAGTTCAAGCCTGTGCTGATCTCAGCAGGGCTTAAGCAAATGAAACGCTGGGTCTGATTGCACAGGAACAATTTAATGAACGCTGGTGCTTTGTAACTCTTCTGCGTGTCAGTCTTTCTGAGGCGAGTGGAGCTTGCGCAGCCACAGTGCTTAATGGATTGCATGCTTAAAATGCATTAGCCAAACCTCCCTATGGGAGGGAGAACACCCCGTAGAATTCTAGGAAATATGCTTGTGTCTGCAGAAGTGGGCGAGCAACCTTCAGATAATATGATTTACATCTGTAAGCACAATTCAAATGCCTTTCAAATAAGCTGCCTACGTCGTTTTTTAATATTTATATTGCACATTACTTCATGCTAGCTGCATAATTCATTCCTTGTTGCATTTAATACAGCATAACCTGCCATATGCAGCAAACTTTGGAGCGGAAGTAGCTTGATCTAAGTGTCTTCAGTACAAAGCTATACAATTCTCAAGCAAGATAGTATTAACGGCATGTGTATACCAGCTTGTATACACCTGTACTTCCTAAAGCAGTATTTTTTAGACATTTACCTTTTTTCAAAAAAAACCCAACAACTTCGCAGTCCATAGACTTTTTTTTCTTCAAATGTAGATGTCAGGAAAAGCACTTTCTCACAAAACTGTCTGCATGTTGCACTACTGAATATCAAATCATGTCTTTAATTGCAACGTACATTGCGAACCCAGGTGAAACTGATCTTGAGATAATGGATTCTGCCCAAAATCACAAATTAGTAAAACATTATTGACTGAAGTGGAAATAATCAGCCATGCACACACACACCCCGCTCTTCACATTTGCTCTAGCTTCACTAAAAAAAGAAACGCCTGACTAGATGAGGCAGAATGCATGTCCCATTGAAAACAATGCTGTGTAGACAAAATATATCCACAGTTAGCTTTACATTCTAACAGTGCACTGCCAGTTTACACTCCTCCTTGATCCTGTACATGAAAATTCCACAGGAACGTGTCTATACGCACTCCTCCCCTTAGCTGCTTTGGAGTGACTAGTTATATGTGGCACCTATATAGCTCTTACATATACGGCAGTGGTTGGGAGACAAAGTAAATGTTGTGCCTGAAAACTACTTTTTATTTATTGGAAAACAGCAGTGAAGAGGTATTCACACAAGTCAGTGTCCGATCTTTACTGGCCATAACATGAATATTCATTTCTGCACTACCAGTTTCTATTATTTATGGAATTTTGTAAGTCAATAAACTGCTGCAATCTATGAGAAATGTGGCAATGTTGTCAAGTTTTTTTTTTGCTTTTAGGTGCTTAATTAAGGCTCAAGCATGGAAGTCTTTACAGCTATTTAGTCGCCCAAAAAAAGGGAAAAAAGTCTCTGTTACTGAATAGTATGCACATCAGCCTGATAGCCTGATTTTAAAAAATAAAGTGAACCCTCCCCTGTTCATTGCTATAATGATGCATTATGTGCCAAGTAGCATGGAATGGGATTATATGTAATTTGAAGAGTGTTGTAGCTACCCAACTAGTACAGTGGTGCCCCGCAAGACGAATGCCTCGCAAGACGGAAAACCCGCTAGACGAAAGGGTTTTCCGTTTTTGAGTTGCTTCGCAGGACGAATTCCCCTATGGGCTTGCTTCGCAAGACAAAAATGTCTTGCGAGTCTAGAGATTTTTTTTTCACTTTCCCCCCCCTTTATCTAAGCCGCTAAGCCTTTAATAGCCTTTTAGCAGCTAATCCGCTAAGCCTTTAAGCCTTTAATAGCCGCTAAACCGCTAATAGTGCTAATCCGTTAAGCCGCTAATAGGGTTGCTTCGCAAGACGAAAAAACCGCTAGACGAAGACACTCACGGAACGGATTAATTTCGTCTTGCGAGGCACCACTGTATTAAAATGGTATGTCCATGAAACACCTCTCTGTAGGCAGCTGGGGGCTACTAAGTCTGAGCTACGGTATTTGCGGCTTGTGTACGCTCTATGGAGCTGTCTCTGAAAGTCTGGGAAAGATGGAAAGCTCATGGGACAGCTCAGCTGGCAGAACATGAGACTATTAATCTCAGTCATGGGTTCGAGCCCCACGTTGGGCAAAAAGATTCCTGCATTTCAGGGGGGGTTGAACTAGATGACCCTTGTGGTCCCTTCCAACTCTACAATTCCACGATCCATGCGAGTTCTAATGTGTGTGTGGGAGCTCGTCCAGAAATAGCCTTTAACAAACGTCTTTCTACATTTTTATTTTTCCCTTCTCCTGAGGAATTTGCATTGGCTACAAAGTCCACCCCATTTTATCTTCACCGCAGCCCTGTAAGATTGATAAAGCTGAAAGGAGGTGACTGTTCCAACATCATGTGGTGACTGTCATGGCTGAGTGCAGATTTGAACCTGGATCTCCCTGTTTTAACACTTGCCACTATGTCATACTGGCTGCCTAGTACAGTTTGGTTGGGTCACCTTCATCCCTTTGTGTATGTAGATATATTTGCCACTACCAAAGACAATGGGGACATCCCCTTGTATAGCTAAGGGGAAGGGCTTTAGCTCAGCAGAGCATCTGTTTTCTTTGAAGAAGGTCCCTGATTCAAATCCTGACATCACTGTTCAAAATCCTGACGAGTCTCTGCCATACAGTCACCAAACTAGGTGGACTGACTATGACTACATATAAGGCAGCTTCTAATCAAATAATTCATTATATGGTCATGGACACACTAAAAAGCTTCCTATGTTCTTGCTGCACTCACCCACCATCAAGGAAGTGCTGAATTTTACAGTATACTTGTATAATATGATGAAAAGTATGCAAAAAACAATGCAAGAAATCATGTTTTTCATGGTGAAAAAGAAAGGCCGGTGGGGGGCGGGGAGAGAATGGATGCCAATAACCCCAGTACTTTAGGATGGAATATTTAGCCATGCTAGCCACTGAAATGGGCTAAACATCTTTATGCGCCCCCTCACCCAGCTTGTCCGGAGTTTTGGGCTGGGTTGCCATCAGTATGCTGATGACACCCAACTCTATCTGTTGATGGATGGCCATCCTGACTCGGCCCCAGACACACTGACCAGATGTTTGGAAGCTGTGGCTGGATGGTTACGTGGGAGCCGGTTGAAGCTAAATCCTTCGAAGACAGAGGTCCTGTGGCTGGGACGGGACGATATGGGATTGGGGGGGCAACTCCTATCTCTTGTGGGGGCGCAATTAGTGCCAGCACCGTCCGTTAAGAGTTTGGGTGTAATCTTCGACACCTCCCTTTCCATGGAGGCGCAGATTGCAGCTACAACAAAGGCGGCATTTTTCCATCTCCGCCAAGCTAAGCAGTTGGCTCCTTACCTCTCTCGCCCTGACCTAGCCACTGTGATCCACGCGACAGTCACCTCCAGACTGGGTTATTGTAACTCGCTCTACGTGGGGCTGCCCTTGAGACTGACCCAGAAACTCCAGTGGGTGCAGAATGCTGCAGCGAGACTCCTTACGGGGTCTTCACTGCGAGATCACATTCACCCGGTGCTATACCAGCTGCACTGGCTCCCGGTGGAGTACAGGATCAGGTTTAAGGTGCTGGTTTTAACCTTTAAAGCCCTATACGGCCTAGGACCCTCGTACCTACGGGACCGCCTCTCCTGGTATGTCCCACAGAGAAACTTACGGTCTTCAAATAAAAACATCTTGAAGGTCCCAGGCCACAGAGAAGTTAGGCTGGCCTCAACTAGAGCCAGGGCTTTTTCGGCCGTGGCTCCGATCTGGTGGAACACTCTGTCACAAGAGACCAGGGCCCTGCGGGACTTGACGTCTTTCCGCAGGGCCTGCAAGACAGAGCTGTTCCACCAGGTCTTTGGCCAGGGCACAGCCTGACTCCCTCCCTTGGCAATCTTCGCGGAGCTCTGGCCCAATGGTTGCCAGTGGCTTGAATGAATTAATTTTATAATGAATGATTTTAGAGTGTTGTTTGTGCTGTACTTTTGTACTGTTTTATTGTTGTTAGCCGCCCTGAGCCCGGCTTCGGCTGGGGAGGGCGGGATATAAATAAAATTTATTATTATTATTATTATTATTATTATTATTATTATTAACATGTATACCATGTCACCTGATTCCCCCCCCCCAAAAAAACAGGAGTTTTTCTCCTGATTTTCCCCCCAGACCCACCCAAACCCTTCAGAATTAGATCACAATCTGTCAAGAGATTCTGAAATATACAAGACAGTTGATCTGGAAGTAGACTTGTGTTCCCACCTTAAATACTCTGATGTACATGGAAACCGGCTCTTTCATATATTGTGTTTAGTGCTGGGCATTTAGTCTGTGACCTTAGCCTAATTTGGATTATTATTATTTTCTATTTAAGTACAGTGGTACCTTGGTTCTCAAATGGCTTAGTTACCGAATCGGCTTAGTTGCCGAATCGGCTCCCAAACGCCGCAAACCCGGAAGTAAATGTTCTGGTCTGCGAACGTTTTTCGGAAGCCAAACATCTGATGCGGCTTACGATAGAGTGCAGGAAGCTCCTGCATCCAATCAGAAGCCGCATCTTGGTTTTGGAACGGTTTCGGGAGTCGAACGGACTCCTGGAATGGATTAAATTTGAGAACCAAGGTACCACTGTATCTGAGAAGAGGCCCAGGAAAAACTACTGCCACTTTAAGGTCTTCCATTCCTTAAGGAAGGGGCGGAGTCTGGGAGAAGTAATCAGGACCTTTTATGTATGGGGAGCATTAGGGCTAAATGTGGCCACCTGGGCCTCTATCTGGTCCTATTATTGCCCTGTCATGCTCCCCTCTCCCCAGCCCTGCTTTGCACCATAAGCTTTTCAGCACTTAGGCCTCCCTACCTGTGGATTTTTGCATGAGGTAAAGTAAGGAACTGGTATGTGCAATGAGCTTATGCTTTTACTTCTCCCTTTTGAAAGTTGATCAGTACTTTGGGGACCTCTAGTGGAGAACTTAGAAATATGTCACTGAAGTAATATGATTTTCCTACATCTTTATTGTCTTCAGAAATCAGTGTGTGGACACTGCAATCCTCTACATGTCTACTTGGCAGGAAATCCTTTGGATTTCAATGGTACTTGTGCCCAAGTGGCTGGATTGCAGGTTAAATATATCCTTTATGCTAAACTATTACAGTGGTACCTCAGGTTACATACGCTTCAGGTTACAGACTCCGCTAACCCAGAAATATTACCTCAGGTTAAGAACTTTTGCTTCAGGATGAGAACAGAAATCATGCAGCGGCAGCAGGAGGCCCCATTAGCTAAAGTGGTGCTTCAGGTTAAGAACAGATTCAGGTTAAGAACAGACCTCCAGAACGAATTAAGTTCTTAACCTGAGGTACCACTGTATTGTCATATTCCTATTGTAGGAAATTTGTTTGGTAGGTAAAATAAATAAATAACTGGCTTCAGTGTTAAGTCCTTTGCAACATGAAAGCTCACACCCTACTTTCCTCTTTCCTATATGCTTTATATCCTTTTATTCATCTGAAGTATAGACCACAAAGTATGGAGATGGAGAAATAGAGACTTGTGATTGTGAGACTGATTGCCTTTCACAATACAGTATAGGAAGTTAAAATTCATCCTGGCTTAGTAATTAAACACTTCCTATTTAACTTGACAGGGACGCGGGTGGTGCTGTGGGTTAAACCACAGAGCCTAGGGCTTGCCGATCAGAAGGTCGGCAGTTCGAATCCCCGCGATGGGGTGAGCCCCCGTTGCTCGGTCCCTGCTCCTGCCAACCTAGCAGTTCGAAAGCACATCAAAGTGCAAGTAGATAAATAGGTACCACTCCAGCGGGAAGGTAAACGGCGTTTCCGTGCGCTGCTCTGGTCCACCAGAAGCGGCTTAGTCATGCTGGCCACATGACCCGGAAGCTGTATGCCGGCTCCCTCGGCCAATAAAGCGAGATGAGCGCTGCAACCCCAGAGTCAGTCACGACTGGACCTAATGATCAGGGGTCCCTTTACCTTTACCTTATTTAACTTGACTATTATAAATACAAATAGCTGTTTTGCTAGTAGGAGGAGTAAGAGTTGGTAGTTAAAGCCCCTCCGCCTCAAGTCGCTCAGAAACTAATTTTGGGGAAATCGGAGAGGCCAGTCAAAAGGGCAAATAGCAGAGCAACTGGAAACAATAAAATGAATTTAATCTGCAGTCAGGAAGTGCTTTAGTTAAAGTAACAGGGTCCCTGCAAGCTGATGCTGCAATACAGGTATCTTGCAAAACTAATCCCCAGTCCGCCCGCCCTGCCATGCAAAGTCTGAAAAAAACAAGGGACAGCTAAACAGTTCAATTGTTGCAGATTAGTCTGCAACAATTTGACAATGGCATCATCTGTATGTACTTCATATATGAACAAAGGATGGCAATTCGAGAGAAAGGGGCTAACAATCTTAGCACATCAGTTCATACCTTAATTACATCCACTCTTGACAACCACAATGTGTATTTTTAACATCCTCTTTGAAATCCTAATTTTGTTTGTCACCATGAAGTACGGGAGTCAGTCCAGGACCTGAAGGTTTTTCCACAGCGAAGGCCACCATCTGTAGCTCAGTATGTCAAATGAGAGGGAAGCTCCATGTAGACCATTAGTTCCTGACCCCAGTTGAAGGTGCTGCGTTTTTGGAGCTGCTCCAATAATGATAAATCAATGCTGTTGTTTGGGCTATGATCCTTTTATTCATTTGGCTTTTTTGTACAGTACAAGGCATTCATTTTGTGTTATTTGCAACAAAATGGATAGCACATTTATAAAGCCAAGCAGGGTCCAGTATTGTTTCAAATTGGATGGGTGGCTGTGTGCCGAGATTCCTGCATTGCAGGGGGTTGGACTAGATGACCCTTCTATGATTTCATAGTTTAAAAGTGGTTAATAATAATAATAATAATAATAATAATATATTATTTATACCCTGCCTATCTGGCTGGGCTTCCCCAGCCACTCTGGGCAGCTTCCAACAAAACATTAAAATACAGTAATGCATCAAACATTAAAAGCTTCCCTAAACAGGGCTGCCTTCAGATGTCTTCTAAAAGTCTGGTAGTTGTTGTTCTCTTTGACATCTGGTGGGAGGGCGTTCCACAGGGCG